TCTAAAATAAAGCCGTTATAGATGGACGGGCGGGCAATGTCGCATCAAGTTTCGTTTTACCTTTTTGGTTCGTAGTTCTAAAAATGAATAGCCGTTTTAGCATTCATGGATCATTCAACCAGAGAGTCAGGATATGTCTTTTTAGATATGAATATGTATTAGAGCATCATGGCTTGTTGATTTCCTAACCAAGAAGTCGCGAGTTAATATCAGGCCGACACAAAAAAAAACGTTCTGTGCCATTTTATATTATCGACTAACTCTCCAGTGAAGGTAATACCCAAAACTCAATCAAATCAAACTAAAAACTAAACCGAAATATCAAGAATAAAAATTTAAAATAAATTAAAATTTACCACATCACCGGCAGATAATAATGGCCGACTACTGTATTTTATTATGTTAAATATTATTTTACTCTATATTACATTGTAGTTATATAAATATATTATATCTGCCTATCTGATAATGTACTTGCCTGAAATACATTATTTAACTTTGTAAGAATTTTATGATCAATATCAATATGTGTGAAACTCGATTAGAATATTTAGATAAGATTGCATAGGCGCGACGTGGTGGCGCGGCGTTCAGGGAGACCCGGTGAAACGGCTAACCGCTGGCCGCCCGCAGGTTGTTGGGTTCCCGAACTCAGGGATTACATAACCTCCGCCCTGGGAGGCTGAACCACCACCTGTGCATAATCCCTGGTGTAGTAGTCGTGCCGAAGGAGGAGACCGGAGTGGACCCGGCTGCTACACCAGTGGGAGGACCGGGGGCCCTTCCGGCCGCCGTGCCACCAAATCGCCCAACCTGTGCAATGCTGGGGTGTGTTAATGCACCTTTTGTCCTTTCTGATACCGGCGCAACCATTCCCCTTTAACCTTAAAAAAAAAACTTCCCATGACCAGAAGAAACAAAAAGCAAAATATAGTACCTCAGCAGCATCCCAATCCACTTTAGATATGCATTTCTGCAATATCAGGGGACTTCACGGAAACATCAAAGCGGTCCACCATCATCTTGAGACCGCCAAGCCGACCCTTTTATTCCTTACGGAGACGTAGATATCCTCCCCGGCTGACACTTCGTACCTGCTGTACCCTGGGTATAAACTCGAGCACAAATTTGTGCGTCGTGCCGGGGTTTGCTTGTATGTCCGGGAAGATATCTGCTGTTGCCGCCTTCTTGGTCTAGAAGAAAAAGACCTGTCAATCCTATGGGTTCGCATTGATCAGGGTGACTACACCGGCATCTATGCCAGCTTATACAGGTCTCATAGCGGTGATAGATAGATTGGGACAGATTGCGAGAATTTTACGCATCGTACCCATGGAAGCAGTACCGCTTTGCATCAGAAGACGTCGATACCTGTACAGCCACTGTTACTGAAGTCATACTTGCGGGTATGGAATGTGTTATTCCAAATCTGCCTGTTGCTTCAGGGGCGAAAAAGCGACCGTGGTTTAATAGGTCATGCAGAGAAGCCAGACAGGCTAATCAAACAGCTTATCAGGCTTGGACCACGGCTCGTTCCAACAGCGATGTTGACGTATCTGATGCAAGGCGGAATTTAAATGTTGCATCCAGGTTTAGTAAGAGAGTAATTGCTAGAGCCAAATTCGACTTCGTCAGTAAAATTGGAGAACGACTAGCACGACGTCCTTCTGGAAGTCGTGCCTTCTGGTCGCTTGCCAAAGCTGCCGAAGGTAACTTTAGTCAGTCGTCCTTACCACCACTACGGAAACCGGATGATAACTTGGCAATCAGTGCAAAAGAGAAGGCCGATTTGTTGTGCACTCTTTTTGCCTCAAATTCGACTTTGGACGCCGGGGCACCATACCTACTACCATCCCATGGTGTGGTAACTCTATGCCGGAAATATCCGTAACGCAACGGCGAGTTCGGCGAGAGTTGCTGTCTCTTGACGTCCACAAGTCGAATGGGCCAGACGGTATACCGGCATTGGTGTTAAAGAAGTGTGCTCCGGAGTTGTGTCCCGTACTCACGCGCCTTTTTGCGCTTTCGTACTCCTCTGGGCAATTTCCGTCTTCATGGAAGACCACCCTTGTGCACCCTGTGCCAAAAAAGAGCGACAGATCAAACCCAACTACAGGCCTATCGCCATCTCTACTCTCCAAGGTGATGGAGCGTGTAATCAATACACAGCTCCTGGGATACCTAGAGGATCACGATGTATTGAGCGATCGTCAATATGGCTTTCACCATAATCGTTCAACTGGTGATCTTTTAGTGTATCTCACACACCGTTGGGCTCTTGCCATCGAGAGTAAAGGTGAGGCATTGGCAGTCAGCCTTTACATAGCGAAGGCATTCGATCGGGTTTGGCATCAAGGTCTTCTATCGAAATTGCCCTCGTACGGTATACCAGAGGGATTACGCAAATGGGTCGCTAGTTTTTTGTCTGTGCAGATGCATCAAAACCGTTGTCGATGTAGTTGCTCCGATAGCATGGACATTAACGCTGGCGTCCCGCAAGGCTCCGTTCTCTCCTCGACACTGTTTTTGCTGCATATCAATGATTTGTTAACTACAGTTAACATTCATTGTTATACGGATGACAGTACTAGGGACGCATTTTACACGGGCCGTGCTAATATCCCTCTTTCCGTTGTGGAGGCAAACCGCGAACAGCTTGTGTCTGAAATCGAGAGTACTCTTACCAGAGTCTCCGAATGGGGGCGACTGAACTTAGTTCAATTCAACTCTACCATGACACAAGCCTTTCGCTGTGGCTCCGCAATTCCAGAACACGTCCATTACCATCACTAAGAGTATTGGGATTCTCGGTATCGACTGTAGTCACCTCGAAGAAAAGGTTAAGCTGGCATCCAAAAAACTCGGTGTGCTCAATAGAGCGAAGCGGTATTTCACTGCGGACCAGAGACTCCTCTTATATAAGTCTCAAGTTCGGCCGCACATGGAGTACTGCTCTCATCTTTTGGGCAGGAGCACCTGGATACCAGCTCGGTCCTTTTGACTCGGTTCAGAGACGTGCTATGAGAATTGTCGATGATCACAATCTCTCTGACGGTGTCGAGCCACTTAGTTTGAGGCGAGACTTCGCTTCGCTTTGTGTGTTGTACCGATTATACAACGGACTGTGTTCTGAGGAATGGTTCGACATGATGCCTACAGCCACCTTTCACCATCGCATCGCTCGCCATCGAGAAGGAATACATTCCCACACGCTGGAACCTAAGTGGTCTCGGACAGTGCGGTTTCAGAGGAGCTTCCTCCCGCGTACACTTAGATTGTGCAATGAACTTCCTGCCGAGGTTTTCTCACGAGACTACAGCATGGGGTATAATAAGGTTTCTTAAGGGTCGGCAACGCGCACGTGGCACCCCTGGTGCTTCAGGCGTCCATAGGCTACGGTAACCATTTACCATCAGATGGGCCGTATGCTTGTTTGCCACCATAGAAGTATAAAAAAAAAATACAAAGATCTGCCTCTTACTGTATAGATAGCCACATTTTCTATTTACAATATAAATATGGATTTGTATGTAATATAATATTATATTCTTCAAATTTTCACCGAAGCAATTGTAATTATTGATATTTCATCTTCAGCCGAAATGATATCAAAATTAATATTTAAATATGACCGTGATAAATGCCAGGTGATCAAATGTTCATTATTATTGGCTCGTTATGAAAAGTTAATAGCAATTATGTTCATTTTACAGCATTAATTTGTTGCGTCTACGTAATGAATTAATAATTAAATTGGCTTTGACTCACTGGCCCAGGTTACATATGTTATTGGAATGTTCAATTATTCTGACAGCCCATTATTTCACAATATTCAGGAACGAATAATTTATGTACGCATTAATAAATCATACGTTTTATGTACATATTAACAGTGCCTGTGTAAACAGTATTTAGTCTTAATCATATTGTAATAATTTTTAATAAATTTCAAAAGCACTAACTGAATTTGACATTTTCCTAATATATTTTAAATGTTACACAACATGGTCATCATAACTGCATATATTTTGTTTATTGTTATTAGTATTTACATAGTTTTATTTTCGTTCGTATCTATTCCTTAATAAATTACGCATTTCGCATATGATTGTATTAAACAACAAACAACAAACAGGTACAGGCTACTAAATAAAATACTTGAACAAACACTAGAAATTATGGGAGTACTATTAGACATATCTCTTATTTTAAAATTTAATTGCAATGCAGTTTTAAGTTTGTAGATACAAAAAACATTCACTTTATAATATTTTATGCGTGTGAGCCATAAATTTTGGAAAGTTAGCGAGTAGGTAATACTAATGTTCTCAATTAGAATTAGAATTAGTATGTCACTATTTCATGACACACTAATTCTAATTCTAATTCAGATGTACAATTATTTATGGAGGACTAAATGTAAATTTTTTGTAATAATATTTTAATAAAGTTCAATAGATTCAATTGAAAAGAATTGGCAAGAAACTCTACCAAATTAGTTTTTTTAAATGCCATTATTTAAGATTATTTACTTATTGTAGATAGACAACATTTAATGAATATTACATACATGAACAGCTATAGCAATGCACATTTCAATTAAGTAGTTGTTTATTGTGTATTAAGTTTTGCTCAGTAAATATGTTTTAACACTACTTCCAGAATTCCCATAAAATTTAATATATTGTATGTTTCTGAATACCTAATCGCGACCGTTGTATTTACATTGTGAGCTAAGTTTTGAATGCATCTGTAATTTTTCAATTTATATTCTCATTGCAATTTTTTCAATTCAAGCTGAATCTTTTATTGGAGAACTATTTGAATAATTAAAAACAGCATCACTGTTGTTATATTTGTATCAAAAAGGGTAAACTACATTATTTATATTTTTTTGCTATCAATAAAAAAAAATATATGCATTAGTATTTTTTATTTACAATATAATTTTAAATACAGTTGCCTAATGATAGCCGTCAAAAGATATAAATTAAGTCCATAGATGTTTATTATATAACTAGATAGTATCATGAAATATAAATATGAATTTAATAAAAAGTAGTATGTATAATTACGACTTTGAATAAGTAACTAATTAATTTTTAGTTATGGTTCCGATAATTTCCTATTGATTCGGTACTATTTAACCATTTATATTACTGGTAAATAATATAAAACTAGTATTGAAGTTAGATTATGCGATTTACCTTTAATGCAAAACAAAAAAGCCTTTGATACCATACTTTATAGTGGGGAATAAAAGGTTGTATTTATAAATCGAAATCCTGAAATCCCAATGGTTGAGGCGTCCTATGTAATATTCGCGTAGGTTGTTGAACTCGAGGTATGATGGATATGCGACGAATGGCAGCATTGGGAGGCGTAGTGTCCTCCGCACGCATTCCTGGCATTATGGAGAAGCGTCTGCAATAAATAAATATATAATAAAATCACTACACTACTATTCCATATTACTTTGTTTATCCTGAAGAAAAATATGACATGAGTAATAGGTAAGTACATGAAGATTCCATTAATATAAAAAAATATATCACTTAATCATTTGGGAGGAGACTATGTCAACAGTATTTGCGTTTTTTAAGAATACGTTAAGTTCACAAAGAGACACGATAGATTTTATATACAAAAATACTTAGTAGATGTATATGTATATACATATATATGTCTCAAATGTACAAACATGAACGACATGGAACGAGGGTGGAACTGTTTACAAAATTTTCAGAGAAAATTCAAATCACTTAATATTGTTTGTAATTATTATACATCACAAAATATGTAATATTGTGATGTACTCCGATGTACCTATATTGTGTATGATCGTTTTCAATTTTTAAATATGAATATTCTTGACATCCGTCCTAATTTTATTTATTCTTATTGTTTATTGATTTAAATGTATTTATATTTGACCCTAATAAATTAGTGCTAGTTGGTAGTTTGTATTCACACGTTCTGACTTGAAAAATGTGAACTTACAAGAATTATTTCAAAGAGCAACACACAAGTTTCTAGCTCGTTCTTCTTGTGATGCGACAGCTTTCCGAATGAGCGGTAGATTAAAAAAATATTATGACTATTCAAAAGTGCTTAAATGAAGTTTATTTGAATAAAGGTTTTTCTATTCTATTGTTGGAATAATTTAAAGCTTCATTCTAATATATGGAATCGGTATGGGCATAAACTCTATCTATAAAAAGAATAACAAATTTTGTTCCGTTAAAGCTACGATACAAAGAATACATTAATTTATATCCTTTTTGAAGTCGTAAATCGATTGTCTATTGCCCAGAATCTAATCTTTATTTCTTTACATATAAAACATTGTAAATATATTAAACCAAGATTTGTTTTGTTTGTTTGTATGTTTGTTTTGTCTTTTTGTATGCTAATATTTCTCGTAAAAAATTGGCTGGAGAATTAATTCAGTAATCAAGTAATTATAATCCTGGATGATTCACACAGTGCCATCTAGTCCTGAACTAAGCAGAGCTTTTATTATGGATACTAGACAATTGTCAGAAATACTTAAATATTTCTAAATACTTACATAATAATGCACATAGAAAACACCTAGACCAATACAAACAATTATATTCATTAATTCAAATGTTTGTGCCGTGGGAGGAATAGAGCCCAAATACATACATAATGCTCATAGAAAATACTATATATTCTAATGTGGTTTATAAAATGATTGGCCTTAAACATTATGCAGTTACCTGGCTGCTGGGATGACTGACATCTTTCTGAAGAGATGCTCAGCTGCGGAGCGCAAATCATCGTCCTGCATCAAATTCACCACAGCCTTTTCGCGTTTCTCAAGAGCTGCTTCTGACGAAAGTACTTCCCCTTCCAGTGACACATTTACGCACTAGGAATAAAATTAAAATATCAAAGATGAATATTTATTTAGTACGTTTTATATATCCACGCGCTCTGCCCTGGAAACCATTGAAATTATTATTACCGAAAATTAATATCGAAGTTTTCATGATTGACAGCTTTTTATGTAATACAAATAAATTACTTTTACTTGCAATGGCATATATGTCAAACGATCCATATGATGTAAAATCGCAGTTGTCTAATATATGCAACAACAAATATTAGTACAACATTAATATCTACTAGAGGTAGACCGTAAAGACGCCATCGTGGGTCTCAGTTTCATCTCTTTTATTGCCAAGCAGTTTTGTTCTAGTGCAGATTAGACAGTAAAATTACATAAGAGAGAGGATATCTTAGTCTTCTAAAAAGCAACAAATCAGTGGCATAGCGGATTTCACAAGAAAACGTTATGTCTGTAGTGCCATTCATCTATACAGGTGACTGTTACTGCTTAATAACAAGTGGCCCTTCAGCTTGTTTACCATTCCAATAATATAAAAAAATATACATAAATGTTTAGAAACATAAATAGTCATATCAATTTACCAATGAGGCACTTAAATTAATTTTACATTGCAATAGTAAAAAAAAAAATTGCTGATATAGCTTGCTTTTTACATATGTAGGCTACACAGTAAGAAACGATTCCTTATTCTTAAAGGGAGTTCGGGGCAATGAAAGCTTGGCTTAATTAGGATTATGGGAATTACCACGGAGAAATTACGTAGGGAGGATGCCGGTCATAAATACCATTCTACCGCCGGTCCACACTTGAGTTATATTTTGAGAGCACTCATGGAGCTGACCACACCAGACCCACATATAAATGTTAGATGTACGTAATATATTAATGTGGAAGCGGCACAAAAATAATTAAGGAACTACGAGCCACGCTATGATTAAGGCTATGAGTTTTTGAGGTTGATCCTTTGTTTTGTTAAAGTTTATCCTCATTTATCTTGGGTCTTATGCTTCTCTAATCTTTTATTAAAAAGTAAATTCGCATCGTACTATCACGAAATGAAACAAATTTGTTCTTTATGATTTAATTATAAAAATTGTAATTAATTAATCAAAGAAAATATTTATTTATAAATGAAGTACTTATTCATTATGAGGAAAAAAAGTCATGCTCTTGTTTCACTTTACTTATTGGTAATATTCGCAAAAAAAAATTGAATTTTGGTTAAATTGATGTGACATGTTTTTGTTAAAATTCGCATTTTTTATTTAAACTGATATACATTGATTTCTTATACAGAAGGATTCGTTATACCTGACTGATTAAAAACCATCTATTGTACCTACGTAGGTCTGATTTTTTAATTATGGATACTTCTTATGCCTTTTATATATTTATGTTTGTATAGAAACCCACCAAGAATATTACCGGAACCTGATATGATCATGTATATGAAATCATTTACAAAAGGTATCTAAAAGTCTGGTCAAGATATTGAATATACGACTAAAGAAACATTATAAATAAGTCGTGTTTTGAGTTGACTAAATGAGATGTCTTTCAGAAATAAGTTCTCCTTTGCTAACAATATTTCTAATATTTATTTAGATTATGTATTTATGAGTGCAATTGAGAATATATATATATATAATATAAAATCAGATAAATACTAACAGTATCAAAGAATGCAGCCACATCGTCATACCCAAATGTTCGTGATAATGCGGCACCTTCTATGAGGGCTGCGCGTCCTTCTGGGCGATTGTTTTGGAGCAAGTGACATCGTGCTAAAAGAAATGTGGCATTTAAAAGCCACACACGTTGATTGGCAGCTCGACATTCTGCGAATATTCCAACAAAAGTAACAGTATTTATTTATACTACACAGAATTTTGTTGCATACTAACTGTTCATTTCATCTTCACACGAGTGAAATTATTGTACGCATTTCATTTTTTGTAACTAAACATACATTTTACTTGCTAATAATGTAGCTTTTTGTAAATTAAATAATTTTTAAATTCTATGCAAATGAAAACATAATTCTTCGCTTTTACAATAGTTACAGTACATTTTTAGGTTTTAGGGTGGCAATAATGCATGAGAATTTATTAAAAGACCAGTATTTGTAACCACATTTGTATACAATATACCAAAACAGAAGTCTTAATAGGCCTGCTATTACACTGTATGAAAGCTGTCTTGACTCTAGCGCAATGAGCCTAACGCTAAGATGACAGTGGCACTGTACTAGTAACAACTAAGAGAATCCTAATTTAACTAACAATTTTTGAGCAATAATCTCAGTAGCAATTATCACCAAAAAATATTGCCCAAGAGCTGCGGTTCAATATAATATAAGTAGATAATCAAATTGGGTATTTTAATACAGCTAAATCAAACAATAACTTAGATTAAGTGCGGAAATATTGTACCGAAACTAGTACACGCTAGTAAAAACGTAATACAGTAAATGTCGAGTAAAAGCATTAAAGGAGTACTTTTTTAATAATGTAACTCTGAAATAAGTGAAATCAAATACCAGCTTGGCATTTAGTGGCGTAGAATCGTGCTCTGTGCGCTTGTTTTGTGTCTACATGCAACCGCGCTAGTTCATGGAGTATGTAGCAGCGTTCGGGTGCACGAGAGCTTAATGTTAAACCTCGTTCCAAAACTCGCATACGATGCCTAGATAGAACACCACGGACTATATAACATGGACTTTAAACTCTCCACTTAGTTCATGTACTTTTATTACAATTTTGTATATGTCTTGTAGTCCAACACACTTGATTAAAGTACCTATTAATTGTAGGGATTGGTTAGAGAAATATCTGTAAAACTATTTATATATTAAATATAATATATTTATTTTTTATAGTAATTGAATAGAGTAGAAAATAAAAATAATATTACAACTTTTCAAAGTATAGTAATTTATTACTTGGCATCCCGGGGTGGTGCTGGAGGTCGAACCCGCAACACCGAATCATGGCTCGGCTCACGTGACACCAACATGCCGAGCAATAAAAACGCTCTTTTCTCGCGATCGGACTCGCTTATAGTTGTTTTGAAACGTTTCTAAAAATAATATGATAATTTTTTTTTTTCAAATCAGAGATATTGTCAACTGCCCATGTGATGAACGCAACATTATATTTATTTTATATTATTTATCTTTTGAATTATGAATATAATAGAAATTATAGAATAAAATGAGTAACTTTTTTATTAAAAAAGAACATAATAATTTTCGATTTTTTTTTTTCTCTTTTTTGTTTGTATACCATTAATATAACGTTAGGAATTTTAGAATAAAATGAGTAACTTTTTTGTTAAAAAAGAAACATAATAACTTTTTTCCGTTTTGAATACATGAAAACGGATAATTAATAATTTATGTTCTTTTTTAATAAAAAAATTAAGGTGTACTTATGTACTAATTCTGGATTATATATACGAGTACAAATATTTTATTTTAATATTTCATTTAAGGCAATAAAAAAATTAACATTACGTGATATGAATTAGTAGTTGATTATGTCGTTAAAAATTAAAATAAAAAAAAATCTCATCAACCTGATCTAAGAAAGTGTCAGCGACAATGTTATACAACTCTTGCAAAAACTTTTCTTTGCCTGGTAGTAAATTTGCGGGTTTCCTTGATATTTGTTCCATTGCAAACTCTGCATTTTCTAAACACTTGTTTGTATCTCGTTCTTCATACGACATTCGAGTTACTTTTATAAGTCTTTCTGCGTCTCTAATATGCTGACTTTGGGCCCTTGTGAGCTGCTCTTTGCGTGTCTTGCAGAGACGGGTCCTTGCTGCTACTTCTAAAGCTAGTGCAGCATACATAGGCCGACGTATACGTAGTACAGTCTAGAAAAACATACAAGCATCAACAAGTTCCGTAGGGTCAGTCAATAAATTTACGGATATCGTGAGTATTGTGTGTCGCGGAATTTCGTTGAACAATCTAATGGCGTTTGAAGAAACTGCGGTACTCCTAATGATATTGACATCTCCGTACTACAATCAGCTAGTGACCACCGCTAATGGAATCTAACTGAAATGTCGAGAGAGGTAAATACCCCATTTACTATAATATTATTCGTGTTAATATGTAATAGTATATTAGAATAGAAAAGTCATTTTTACATTTAAAACGAATTATTCTACATTTCAAATTTAAGTGTAGTCAAGTATCTTTGTTTTTTTTAAAGAAATAACTTAAAAACAAACAAAGATAACAAAAATAACTGAACATTTAAAATAAATATACAGCAGTAAAAACTCTCCAATAAAATTAGATTTGTATAAGCATTGCATTATTTGTGTTCTAAGTATTCAACTTAAGATTATGGGAAATACTAAATATAGGTTGAAAATAATTTTTGGTAAATACTTGACGTTTTTCTATATTTTCTAAAGCCATGTCAGCTAGTTCCTTCAATTTTTTAGATCCTTTTTTATTAGCTGAAGTTAATCGCTCGTCTTTACATAAGTCGATTAGAAAATATTTATCATGTGCCATTCGTTTTAAATATTTAGATGCCATTAGGCGGGAGATTCGTTTCAGTCTTTGTTGCTCAAAGCGTGAAATTTCTTGTACCTGACAGAAAAAAAGAAACCATAGAATATTAATGATATTTTACAACAATATTAAACATAAATTTAATCTTTAATCGCCAAAAGCAACTTAAAAGAAATTGTTAGCAGAATATTTTCAGGAAAGTTGTACCTATCATACAAATTAATGGAAGTCTTTAAGTTAAATGAGAGGACAAGTAAAACAAATGAAACTTCTCGAGGTTGCTTCTTTTTAATAGATTCTGCTCTCAGAGTTAACCGCTGTTTTGAAACTTATCAGTATAATGACCATTTTGATGTAATTACTCTATTCTTTTGTACATTAAATAAATAAATATCCTACATATTAATCATATATGAGCTTCGATTGTTTTTATGAATAGAATTTTAATAGTTATAGGTAAGTCATAATTGCTTAAATAAATTGTATATACAAGCTGACTGCTTACGTAAAAGTGAATGAATTATTCACATGTATCTCACTTATACTCTTACTGTATTTCTAAGTTCTATCTAAAAATATCTTCTAGAGATCTATATAGTTACTATTAACTGGGATAAGGTCAAGTTAGTGAATAAGATTCATAATAATAGCAAATCAGTAATAAACTACACTAATAACATAAAATAGAATTAACAGTGTGTTATATATGGGCAGCAGGTAAGTCATTAATTTTTTTTTCTATCCGTTTACTATATATTACATTTTTTATTTATACCTGATGCGTGGGTTCTGGTTGCATTCGTCTCTTTCGTTGCGGCATTATATTTACTTCAGCATCTATAGAATCGTTTTTTAACTCGACTCGACGCAAAAGTGATACAGCTGCAGATAAAACTTTGCTTGCACTCTGGCCAACACATTCTCGAATCTAAAAACCATCATGTTCACTTTAAATTTGCGTCAATCATTTTTTTTCTTTTGTACTAGGAATTATTAGATATAATTATTTCATAAGGCAAGAATTTTCTATATGAAATTAACTGTAGTAACACTTTTTTGTAAAATCTACATAGTTTCAAGTAATATACGTAGGCACCTAAAAATTTATACATTCTTTAAATGGAAGGACTGGCGGAAGGGAAAAGTGAAGAGTGCTTAAACAAGCTAATTTGTCAATTGTTCTTTGAGTTTGTAAAGGAAACATTTTTTATCAGAAGACTGACGGTCATAATAATTCTGCAAGATATGCTATTTTTTGTAGACAAAGAATAAAGTGGAATAAATTTTTATTTAAAAATTATATATATAATAGCAACAAAATAGCGAATAAAATAGAGATGAATTAGATAAAGCATAGCATAACAAAGATGGATTGGTTTTTAACATCTTTTGAACACTATATTCTAGAATGTTTTTATCAAAACATATAAACGAACCAAACTAGCTCGACAGTTTGTTAAGTTTGTAGGAAGTTAACACTTATGTGTACCTTGTTACAGTACTACAAAGTTCAGGAAATACTGAAATTTTCTTTAAGTTCAGCACTGAAATCCGAAGCACGTTCAAACGCAGATCTTAATGTACCATATGTTAAACTTTGATATCGGTCTCGTACTTAGCACTTACTCTCAAAAGGGGTAGTGGTATATATTGAAAGTTTGTCTAACGTTCTAGACAGGGGATCTACTAGAACACAAATTTGTAACTGCGATAATTTAGACGTTTTCTTTTAAAATATTTTTTCTCTTTTTTAACTTCATTTGATCGATGTGATACAACTCTATTCTAGAAAAAATTGATAGAGAAATTGAGTTGTAATATATCATCGAGTATTTTTCGAATCAGGGTAACGAATTTGAAATTTTAGAGCATGTCTCTTAATCTCACAGTTTCTTCAGCTTGTCTGGCACACTCAGCAAAGTTGGGCGGGAACCGACGACCTTGTTGACCTCTGGTAGCTAAAACCAAAGCTCGTTCGAATGCACATTTCTCATAGTCAGTTTGCGCTCGAATTTGCAAAGCCGTCACGTTTTTAGGTTCTAATTCTGAAAATATTTTTTTATAATAATCATGAGGATATGCAATGAAGGTCGACCTAAATCTTGTATTATTATCACGACTATAATACAAGATTTGGAGTATAATCATTATTATTATTGCATAACATGGACTATATTTAAATGCTTATCTGGGACTCTATGTTATTTGGTTATATTATATTATATTATTTATTTATAATAAATACTTATATAATACAGGAATACCTTTAAATAGTACGCCTTAATTATTTTATTTTACAGGGTGAGAAACGAATATTTTACGGCAATCACTAATAATAACTTACAGCTCTGGAATAACAAGAGGTTCGTAGACGACGTTATATCCATGGTGGTATTTAACTATACACGTAAATATTTGTAAATTACAATCAGGTCAGTTCATTTGCCATTCCACAAACTTGAGAAAGTAAATGATTAAAAGTGCAATAAAATATTGTCTATAAGCGACTTTTTTATGGATTAAAACTATTGTCTAGTAGACACCTGCAGCTCTAGCCGCATCTGCTAGTGCTCCCGCGTAGTGTGTCATTTTGGCTCTCGCCAAACTTCGACCGAGAAGTGAACGCACATCGGAATCCTGTAAACCGATTTGAATTTATAGTAGTTCTCTTTAATAGAGAACGTATTCGTTTAAGTACCATAAAATATTGCTGGAGGGCTTATACATACGTGTCTCAACTGTTAGCGAGACTATGTAAAGAAATTTAATTATAATGTTACGCTAGAGTATTCTGTCTGGAACTTACTTAATGTAATCATTACAATACATTTTTTTTTTAATATTTCACCATAAATAATATAAGAATGTAATTTGTATTCTGTAATCATAAGTACCTACATATTATCTCTGTAAGTATAGATATTTATATATTTTATGTTGATATTTCAGTTAGTATAAGTGGATACAGTCATTATTATGTACAAGTATCTACTGTTGATAAATATTATATTATAACTACATTCATAAACAGTATAGATATGTCGCGGGTTCCATTCCTCCCATTGTAGAAAAATGTTTTATTCTTCGAGGAATCGTAACCGCGGCCATTAAAAATAAGGCGGTGTACTACACCACTAGACCACGGGGCCGTCATATATCTAATATTAATAATTGTAATATACATGCCTTCATTTCATTAGGATCCATTTACCCGGTTAGGCGTGAAAAGGTAACAAACAAAATCAGAAAAAAAACCGTTTCAAATTTATAATATTAGTATAGAAGTATAGATTTATTCTGGTAAAACTAAGGGGTTACAAGATTGTCTTTCCTCTACACCTCTTTGTGAAACAAAACTAATTTAATCATTTTATATTTCTTTTCGGCCCTCTTTCTAATCTAAGCGTTGGGGTTTTACAAATTAAGTTAGAGCTACGCCACTGTCGTTTAAGCAAAACCCCGAATCGAATTTTACATATTTTTACTTAAAATACAACAATGAAAATGGGACGAAGGTCGATATGCAAATAGGATAACAGTCTCTGCGTTGGTTTAGGCGTTCTGATAATATCAAAATGTCTATGGAGATTACATAGAAACAGAAATGTTTATTTAAGATAAAGTACCGATGAAATGACACTTAAAAAAGAGGTTATTAAAGTAATGTAGGTATAGTAGTTCCACCACGCGCGGAATTAGAAATATTTAACGTCGAAACCGATATATTTTTAATTATATCTACCTATTAGAAAATTAAATCTTGTGTGATAATAAACTATGTTACACTTATTTCACTATTGTTTATACACAGAATATTTACCGTGTTAATATTATATTATTTTCATAAATATCTTCCTATATATCATTCTGTAACAGCGTACTGAAAATTGCTTCAAAAATTTGATTATTTTACTTCCATCTTCATACTTACCTATATCTCAACAAAAATATATATACCTATGCAAAAATTGAAAACCTTTAACTTGAAGCTGACTGAAAATCACATCGAGTCTGTCAGGAAACTATACATCAAGTGACGGGTACAGCAATAATGAAATGTCCATCAAATATCAAGTCGAGTGTTCTCTACTTCTAACAGCATTGTACTACAGTTTCATGAAAGCGCGAACAAAACAAATTAAATAAAGCTTGTGGAACGGCTCTTACTAACTTTACTGTCTGACTACCTTGGATAACGATGCAAAAGTAAACATTATCAACGTTTAGGCTAGCTACCGTATAATTGCATGTTTGCGAACACTGAGTTCTCATTCTAATAGTATTTCCAGTTACGTCTACTACAAATTCGGGATAATCCACAATTCCACAGGAAAGATGCCAATATCTCCTGTTTTGACCCAATTTGATTGATTGTGAATTTGTGACAGAGAAACATTACGAAGTGTCTTACTTCGGATTTGAATAAATTATCTAATTATTAAACCAAATGAATCTAATCTGAAGTTACAAAGAACATTAATTACATTGCAATCCACAGGTATAATAATAACTCTTTATTGTGCATGTAAAAAGAAATACAGTAATAGAAAATTAATAACAAAAGGCGGTCTTATCGCTATGAACAATTTCTCATAGACAACCTAGAAGAGAAGACGACCTATGTACAGAGAAAAGGTAGATGCCACACACAAGGCACTATATTAAACGAATAAATAGACATACATAATATAAAAAAAATATGGGTTTTTAATCCCAGACAATAATGGTCGTGTGGGCAGAAGTTAGTAATGTAGATATAAATGTATAAAACTACACATATACATACATATTACATATTGGACATATATATATATTGGAAGAATTCGGAGTAGAAATATGTTAAAAAAAAGTATACTCCAGTTTATAATCTCAATGTCGACTCGATGCTATTAATTTTTGTACTGTTCTTTCGTAACATAATCAAGACTAAACTGAATAAATCGACAACAGTATTACTTAGTAGTTTCATTTACTACGAAATGTAGAATTAGTTCTTCGCTAACGTTTAATGAAAAAATGTAATATGGTGTAATCTGATATCATTGGATTGGAATTAGTTTACAGAGTAGGCCGAGTAGGAGTAGAATGTTTAATAAGGCCTTAAATCGACATATTTTTACTATAATAAAAAACGTTTCATATCACTAACAGGAATTACGCTAAATGTAGGGAAAATAGCGGCGTCTATGTAAATTTCAATATTTGGTTACACTAACAGTTGTTTGTTTTTAGTAACTCACATTCCAGCGTAGAGCCTCGTCGTAAGCCAGTATTGCTTTCTCAAATTGCTCCAGGCGTTGTAAATAATTTCTGTGGAAAATAATGTTTACTGTGTCAACTGTTTTTTGATTGCTTTCTTCAGGTACCGTTTTTTATATACTGCAGGAATATCAAAGAAGTCGATGTCTTATTAAATTCATTATATATATGTAAATAATTTATTTAGTATATATATATACATATTATATTATTCTTAATATGATTCTTAATATATAAATCATATTAAGTGCGCAATCACTAACCATTTTCAAGAACGCTGTGAAATCGCACTATCTTTCTCAGTAAATATTCTTTCTGCGTCCTTTCTTATTACTAAATTATCGCCTTCATAATTGCATATATGTTGCTGTGTACCTATACTCGTATATATTTCTATATTATAGTATTATATTATTGTATATTTGTTTTATAAGTTATTTATTTATGTATTATGTAGAATGTATACGTTTATAATATGTATTATTTTATATATTAATATTATTAATGCTTCTACTCCATCATGCGCCATCCACCACCTTCTGTCTTTTCTCCTCTACCTTACCTAAGGTTGTCTGGAAGAGATCGCATAAGCGATAAGACCGCCTTTTGTACCCATGTACGAAAATTTGGAAAAATTAATGAATTTGAACTGAATAGAAAATTTAAATAGTGCTATAATTTTTGTAGGACTTTATAAAATAGAATAATCTAACAATAGTAGCAAGATTACACCTATATTTCATATCCTTGATAGCTTACTTAACCTATTTTTGATTGATATTGAAAATAATTATAGACTTTCTTAATACAAAAATAATTTTCTAATTTCAGTTATTTAATATTTGGCCTTATATATTTTATAAGTCAAAATGTATTCAAAAGGTATATTTCTTTACAGGACCGAACGTATGCTTCAATGGTTCAGGCATGTGGAAGTAATGTGGATGTAAGGTTAACGAAATATATATAGGATCATATATCGTGATTCAATATAGGTACGAGTACAACAGGGAACAACGAAAGTGGATATTTCAAGAAGACTTAAAACGACGGAAGATCATAACTATACCTGTTACCTTAGGGTGCCATTGAGTCTTTGCAATCTAAGTGAATGCAGTAAATACTAAACCTAGATTGAATTTATTGGATCTAGATCGAAATAACTATAAATATCGGTGAAAATTCTTGCTTAATATTATCTATCACTACTAGTAATAGAATATCTATTAAATCTGTTAAATTCATCTTTTTCGCAAGATTTTCTTCATACAATTAAAAAGATTTGGCTGATTTTATATTTGATCATTAATAATTTATTTTCTCCAATTTACTTAAATCTACTACTAAACTACTAATAATCTTCTTAATCAACTAAAAAAATATTATCATTTTTAAAAAAGGCCTACATTACATTTTACAAAACTGAACCAAAATTGGCAAATTAAAAAAGTACAGAATATAGTATGCCAATACATAGATAGATGCATAATATTTTTAGAATAATGTATTTTTCAAGTGTTACATGCATTCATTGTGCCCTATTATAGCAACATTTTTGCTAAGAATAGATTATAGGAAAAATTAAAATAATTATAAACAACGAGAAATAAATTGAAGCTAATGTTATAGTAATAATAACCCTGGACACTTCCCACAGCGCCATCTAGATCCAAGCCACAGATAAGATAATATTACCTTGTATTATCGCATATAATTGCTGTATTATAGGTACTAAACAACTGATATACGACTTAAAACATTTTTTAATACATACGTAATATAATACATAGCACCCAGAACAATAAAAACAATCATACTCATGAATACAAGTAGTTTATACCGTGCAAGGAAACCGTGACCATTGAAATAAAGCGATATGCTAAACCGCTAAATCACCGAGGCTGTATATGCAACTCTTTAAATGTGTAAAGAAGACTACTCAATAAACCACCCACAATGTTACTAATGTATGTTAAATATACTATACATTCGTTTTACATCACAATAACACTGAGTACAAGTACTTTACCCGCGCTCTCTATACACGGCGACTACGTTGCATATAGCCTTCTCCTCTGGCACTAATTTCTTCCTCATGTTTCCGAGACGGTTTTGTCTCCAGACACGACTTCAGGTAATTGTTTACACTACGTTTGTTGTATCTAGATGTATAGTTTATTTTGTAGTTTCATAATCTAGATGACCCCGGATTTGTAATCTGCATTAATATAATAAATGCAAAAGTGTGTCCGTCGGTATGGTTATATGACGACTAAACCACTGAAGAGATCTTTTGATGTGCATAATTCATAATATGCTACCTATATTTTATATTTATATTTTTAAATACTGTTTTAATAAAGCTGATTAATCTCAAATAAGTTTTCTTAAAAACCTAAATTTAAAAAAAAATTAAATAAATTATTAATATAGTCAGTTTGGTATTAACATGAACTAGCTATTCTCCGCGACTTTGTCGTGTGGAATTTACCTTTTTATATTAAAATATACAGAATGTCCAAAATAAGAGTGAAACGACTGTCAAAATCGTTTCAGATATTAGAAAGAACAAACAAAATGACACATACAATTTTTTAAAAATTATTATTCGATGTAAGTTCCGAATGTACTTTCATATGTAGGTATTCAATGAAAAGCTGTTAACTTGAAAATACAAATAATCACTTGTATAAATAACGTATTTACCTCTCTCAGCGGGTTGACTTGCTTGCACTATTGCCGCAGTCTATTTGGAGAGTACGATGTTAATTTTAGTAGGTGTAAGCAATTTGTTTAGATATATGCCGGTATTTGAACAAACTATTGAGATCTAGCAATTTTGAATCGCTGCAATTACCTTGTGGCTACGACTAGTGCAACCTATAATCTATATAAGAGTATCATACTAATATTGTATAGCATGATGTGAATGAAATGACCAACGACGATCCACACAGCGTCTTCTCGCTCCCAGCTAAAGTTTGGTATGTTAAGTACAGCTTGTGTTTATGTTGGGCATTAGACAACCGATAGAAAATACATACAACATATACCTACCTACATTGAACACACCCAGAGCAATAGAACATTTCATTGAAACTTTATATAAATAAAATAGTAGTATTCTACTATATAATTAAAATTATATTAGAGTATTTACTTAAATCACTGACGTAAATATCTAGTCTCAATAGTTCAGCATCAATATTATAATATTATAAATATATTTATTTTAATTTCTATAGATACCTTCGTAAAGTGCGCCGATGAAGTTTGTAGCCAGTTTAAACGGTGTAATATCATGGTTAAGTCGTTAACACAGTAATATTAATTAATAGTTTAATATTGTTTGATACTGACGACCAGACTATGATTCGTACAAGTTGTAGTATAGGCGCCGCGCCGAACGGTGTTAGCAGGGGCAGTATTTATACTCAAGTTGTTAGTTAATTATGTATTACAAGTAAGTTACGGACATAAAAAAGTATATAGAATAAAGTAAAACAATTAACAATAAAGAACACAACCAATCAGTATGTCTACAGAAAAACTAAAGTCTTCTTTAATTTCCCGCGCAAAAAGTATTATGCCACAGGTACATAAATATTGCACGGACCATAGCCGCAGTAGAATGAAGAGCGCGTCATAGCTGTATGTTAATACTAAGTATGAGCACAGATAACATAATATGTATGTGTATTAACAATCAGTTGACACTAGAGCTCCAACTTATATCCAAACTCTGTTCTAAATAAATGTATTTTATTAATATATTCATTGACCGCCTGATGTTACTGCGTTTAGAGATGAAACACGTGTCACAATATGGGTGTAGACTCCAAAACAAAATTGATAACTAATAAGAAAACTTGTAACGCTTTTAGTACTGCTCCGGCCAACTCATATATTACCAGTGATCTCGTGCATACAAATGATAGTGACATTAAACAAAACTATATCAAACGTTAATGAAATAAACTTTTGCTAAATAAAACCTAACTCAGTAAAACATATGCACTGTAGTACATAATTTTACTTCGGAGTTAATCAATTTAACTGTAACTAGTTTTAGCACAGCGTTTCTGCAAGAAGGGTTACAGTGTTTGTTCATAATGCGAAACGAGGATATTTGAGCTACTAAAGGGGCCCATATAATCTTAAGGATCAACATAATGAATTGCCAATAGGTTCAGTACCTACATGACAAATAAACGGTGGCGATTCAAAGTATTTGTGAGTGTTGGTATACATATAGGAATTTGCGTTTCAATGTGTATTTGTTTGTTTAGTGTGTCCTTTTACGCAACCAAAAGTTCTATCTATCTATCTATTGAACTTTTTGTAATAATAATGATGCCTGACTCATGCTAATAGTACACGATAAATTAACTGTTTTTTTTTTATTTATTTATTTGAGCGACCAACAAGACATACACTATGAGGTTACAATTATTATAACTTGCAAAGAGTTCAGGTATATAGTGTTGACTTAATTACTGGTTGCCACGGCATGCGATATTGTTTACAGAAGTTTATATATATATATATATATATATATATATATATATATATATATGTATACAATTTTTTTTTTATCTGATAATAAATTAAGTGATAGTGCTTCTCTGAATGTGTTCAAGAGAAGATGTCAATATGTACGTGTATATGTACAAGTTAGTATGTGTTAAGAATTTCAAGTGTAAAATAAAAAATAAATAAAGTATAAATAGAATATATATATATAAATAGAATAAAGTACAATACTTACCTACATTAATAAAATACCTACTTTTTACTTGTACTTGACTTGACCACGACTATGTGACCCCCTCCTGGCGCCAAAGCTGGATCCGCTCTTGAGCATGACATTATTATAGTTGAGGATTTTGAGTGCAATAACTGATACACTGATACTTATGAATTATATTACAAACGATAAGTGAAAAACAATCATTGTAATCCAACACGGTATATAGAAGCAGCGTACTCAAGTATAGAGAGCAGCGTTGTCTCTTTGAATAGCGATACTTAGCCTCTGGGCAAAGTAGATACCAGCTCACGGATCACAAGTAACCTCATGAGCCGTGCTGAAATACTTGTCAAAATTTTTATATTTATTATACTACATATCTAGTTTTAATGGTATAGCAAACATGCTGACGGCCGCCTGATAATAAGCGGTACCTAATCGTCGCCAATATATTATGTACTTGAATAATAAGTCCTATGGGCATCACTTTATTGTGCAACACCTGTGATATCATTCATGTTGTGTCATTCCAAGAACTCAAATGTCATGCCTCTTATCCTGCACTTTTAAACATGTTGATCTCTACGTGGTTGGCCCCTGGACACCATCGACTAACTGACCTGATCTCATGCCCATCTTATCATCCTCCTCTGGTGCCCCGCCAACGTAAACCGTTAGCGCAGGAAGGGGCATCATTCCATTATCATCCAGAAAAAAACTATATGCTGACGTTTAATCACTGTGGTCGTAATATCATTCATGGCGCGTTGTTTTTATATTTTCTATTATTCATGCATGTTCACGTTTCTCAGATATACCATCAATCCAGCTTGTCTACAAACTTCAATTGAAACTTACGTACAAATGAATAGTTCCTAAATAAATTTATAGTCACTGATAAAATTAGTTTAAGTATGTTCTATTCCAATATCATGTTTCTTAGTAAGATATGTATCGAACTGGAGTTTGACACTTCTCTCCATACATATCTATAAGTATGAATACGTACATTGTTTAGTGAAGATACTTACCAAAGCACCCAACTATTGAAGCTTCGACGTAGTAAGGAACTTCGGAATCTCTAATTAAATGAAGCTATTATTATTAAGCATATTCAGGCCATATCATGGATAAACATCTGCTTTGAATAAACTACAGTATGAATACTAAATTGGTTTATTTTAAATTAAATGCTTATTCTTCTTTGTTTACGCAAATCAGAATAAAAAATATAATATTAGTACGTTAAATTATATTAACTAATTATGAATTATAATAAAACAATAGAATATAATTTCTGAAACTATGGGGTTAGAAACAAAGAAAATGTTCAATTAAATATTAAAGGTTTTTACGATATCCAGCGAAATAGTCACAGACATAAATAAAAACAAAATTGTCTATATTATAAAGCCAAAAGGCTTGTCCATCATTTTCGATAAAATATTTACAATAGTAATTCTGATCAACTGCCATGCAAGAAAAGAATATTTTAACATTTATATTTTCCCGTCTATCCGATGCCATTATTCTCATAAATTTATATATTAAAAAAAGATCGTCTGTAATACAAATGGGAATAAAGACGTCAAACATCAGTCGCTGTCACTTTATGAGAGTTAAGTCAAAAAATAAACGGCAGAGAGGAAAAATACGTCATAACTTTCTTACCTACTTCAAGACACAAATTGCAATCTTTTAATTAAACTTAAGAGGAGAAACAGTTGGTTCTTCTAAAAGTTTTCTTATTACAAAGAAAGAATTAAGTAGTAAAATCCCTGGGGAAGTATGTAAAGGGTAGCTTTGAGATGACGACCTTTGATTAGAAGTAGTCTTGCACCGTTAGTGTATGGTAGGAGTGGGATAATGAGGCCTCCGATTCTTAATGAAACACGCTAAGACCAAACTGTCTATGTTACTTTTTTAACTTGGGGACCTGTTTATATTCTTCTACGAAAGTCCTATAAATGACGTATATACATATGTATATGTGTACTTTTTAATAACGCATTCATCGGACTATGGCAATTATGTTGTATGTAATTTATATTTTAAAAGGTTTTTACCGTTGTTGTAAATATAAACCACAAATAATGATATAGAAATGTTATTATTATATATAGGTAATTATATGAAAATGAAAACTAATCAATTTACATGGTTTTCGCGTATCTTAGAGTATTACGTATCGTTTTAGTATAATATTCGTATTCGTAAGTCACTAATATTTAGTATTTAGGTATATGTCGTATTTTTAAATGTAAGTAATATTTCCCATCTCATACATTTACATGTATCTTACTTGCGACGAAAAAATATGTTTAAATCTACTCAAAAAGGAGAAGAGTAACAGTATACTAGTAAAATAAATTTCAGCAAGTCGTGCATTATCTACTAAAAGGGGATGAATATGAAAGTTTATATCAATTCAACTTACTTCTGTGTACTGAAACAATGTAGTTATCATACTGACAAATTGCTACTTACTTTGTAAAATAATTTCTGTACTGAATTGTTTTGCTTTTATTTACTCTCACCAAACGATATTGTTTCAAGTTTCGTGAATATACGAATGGGCTTATATATACTATATGTATAAGTCCCATTATTATATGTACATAATGCGGTTCTAGAAAGTATTAATAGTATAATTAATCCTTCTCCTATGCGTGGTAGGTAAATCCTAGTTACGGGAGGATCAAGCATCACTTTGTAAAATAAGGCCTTTAAAAGCCAGACTGTTATATATCTTAATAAAATAAGGAATATTTAACTTAATTATTAGAGCTACTAGTAGCTGATATATTAAGTATAACACATTTTATATTATGAAACAATACTAATTTTATTCCTACTACTGAATACTGGTCACTGAATCTCTTTTTCAAGTTTTTATAGCCAGCATGAAAAATAAATAGAGGTAGCATTAATTTTACCTCGACTTTATATTTAAAGTGTAGAAGCTGTGTAAAAGCGCTCGTAGCAAACGATAAGTGGTTGCGGTATCTACTTTTTGTGAAGTATAAAGCTTATACTGTATAAACATGTGGGCGAGTGTGTGGTATAGGTAAAATACCTATAAATTTTGTAATATTAGATTGCAAATATTATAATAATTTTAATTTCTCTAACAGTATAAATTATTCTATGACACGATCTCATACTTTCTCGACGATATTTTTTTCTTTTTATTAAATTCCTATTGCTATTTTGATTGTTAAGTACGTGTAGTATATATAGTATACATTATTGTATGTCAATGTTGGTATATGTATTATTTATTATATCATTATTAAAACATAAAATGAAATTATTGTCCATGTCATTGTCTCATTATGTTGAAAATAACATTGAAAAGAAATTGGGTGAAAATTATTATTATTAGTAGGTATTCTTTAATAAGGCCTTTCCTTTCAATTTCTTTCAAATCAATTCTCAGAAAAAGTTAAATTGTAAAAGAAGTACGCCTCTACTTATGTATTTATTGTAAACTGTATAAGAAAGAAAATAAAATAGCATTCGATAATACGACACAGAGATTCGACTAATTAAAATTAATCAAAGGAAATAAAGACAAAGATTACAAACTAAAATACTCGTTTAATAATATATTGATTTGAATCAACCCACTCAACTAATGCCTTTATTTCTTTTTGTTGTTGCTTGTTGCTTTATATTCTTGCAGTGTAAGGTCCTGAACGATCTACCTTATAACCCTTTTGAATGGCCACTAACTAGAGTAAATGCATAACGTTGAAAGCGACAGCGATATGCAATTAGACGATTGGTATTTGTTTTTAGTATCGCGTGAAGGTTCAACTAATAAGAGGATTGGCTGTGATAGATTCTACCATAACATTAGTCTAGTTTGTTTATTTGTTAGTATTAATTATTATACATAATATGTAATCATTATAAAACTATGACAAAAGTGTTAACGTATACTTTTATCATATCATTCAACATCATTACTGGGGCCGTCACTGGACACTGCAAATTGAATAAACACGTGACGAATTAGCTTAATAACAATTTGCAAATTTTGCCAAGCAGAAGAGGGAACGCCACTACATATCCTATGTGGTTGTAGCCCACTTATGCATAAACGAAATATCTACTTTGGAAAGTATAAACTCTATCCTGATCTATCTATTGCTCCTTATAACCTCGCTTTCCATATCCGTCAATTCTTGTCCCTCACGGGACACAACTTTGAAAAAGGGCGAGGTCAATATCTATACAGGTCGCAGTCTCACTGGTTATAGAACCTGACAACAGCCCAAAACCCCCAATATAGAAGTAAAAAAACCTACTTTTAGTTTTATTTCTGATAAATAAAATAATCAATATACATGCACGACAGTTATCCTTGATGGGTTATTTAGAGCTATTGTCAACTGTTAATGTCGTGGTGACCAAACACTTGCAATACCTACATTTTAGGAAACATTTAAATTCAACATGGAAGTGAGCGAGCTCCTCATTTCTCGGATCAATATTGATTGATTTCAATCTTTATAAATATATCAAACATATATAAATCTTATACAAGTTGAAATGATAACTTTTGAAGTTTACATTATTTCATGTAAAAGTTCGTTTGATTACCTTCTACATTTTCTTGATAGGCAAGTTATAATTGCATAAATTAACGTTAGCACATGATCAAAGGAGCCAAATGGAAGAACGGAGTGCTTGTACTTGTCCAATGGTAGCCTGTGTAATAGCTACGGAGTAATTTCATTGATATCAAGATATTAAGTTACTTATATCAAATGAACGAAATACAGAATTATTATGGCAGCGGATGTTTTTATTGTCTTTTTGACTTTAATATAGAAAGCCGAGTCTTTAGATGAATGAAGATTTATCATAGCACAGATTTCACATAATTAATGTTTTTGATAGAAATTAAGATATACTTTAAATACACAAATAATACAATAACACTATGTAGTTGATATTTTTATGCAATATCTGTAAATTTGTAATTGTTTTAGTTTATTTAGAATTTCAGTAGAATAACATGTATGAAAAACAAAATAGGTGCTAATAATAGTCTTAATTATTCATTAATTATCTATATAAATAATGTAGAATATAATATTGACTTATACCTAGTTCTAGATTTATGTCAACAGTATATTAAATAATTGTATATTTATAAGACAATAATTTTAGCAATAGGCAACATTTTATAAAACACCTACACATTGTACTAAATGTGTAATACTTAAAGTGTGCATGAAAGAATAATATTAATTTATATACATATATATTATATATTGTAATATATAAAAATATAAATGCAAAAGAGATGTAAAAGACTATTTGCAATAACTTCACTTGATTATTTTAAAAAGATACGGATTAAGAGTGAATTTTGATGATTACTTTTGTGACAGAAGGGGTTTACCACCGTGTCTAACAGAAAAATGAAATATGAAAAGTACACTTGTTTTGTAGAACAATGTAAATACATATAGTGAAAATATGTATTATTTATATATATACAAATAATACTTATGTAAGTTAGATATTAATAGTATGTAAATGTGTTGCATTGTAATTGCAATTAGTTTATTTGATACAAAGCCTATAATATTAACTTTTTTTTACACAAATAATAAAATCTTTAGGGTTAACTTAAATGGTGTAATATTTGGTTGGTTTTTAATAATAATGGTAACATTAATCAGCCACATATAAAGGACAGAATAGCATGCGTACCAAAAAAGGTAGAACCGCAAGCAAGGGTTACGAAAGGACTAATAATCTAAACGTACTGGAAGACTGATAACAAACACGGAATGCTTTTTGAATTACAGAACCGTGAAATGAAGTAGGTACCTACCTGTGACACGGAGGCACAATGTGAAAAATTCCAGCAATTTTTCTCGAGATAAATCTGGATTTACACGAGAATTGAATATTCTAAATCATGGAGATAGTCAGCAAGTATATAACTTCAACATTTTTTTTCAATTATTATAATTTAAAATTGTCTGTTTACATTAAACAACTAAAATAATATAAACCCATATCTAAACTATATATTAAAGAAATACTTTAAAATGTTTATAAATAGTATATGTAGCGTGAAAAGTAGTATATAAGTATTTTATCAAAAAAGACTTACTTCAACTTTTTTTTTGTAGAGATATTTTTACATGTATTTTAGATATTTTTTAGATTTTAAATATAAACTAAGGTAACGGCCTACTCGAAGGTAAGCTTTGACCGTCGTATATATGTATATGATACTACTCATTCCTTGCCGTGGAGGACAAAGATGCCATGCCTCTTATCCTACAATTTCAGCATCTAATCTCTCCTTACAATTGAGAGGCTTACAAAGCAAGCTGTTTGACGACTGAAATCGATAAAACTGAGATACCCACGCAGGTGACTCTTTGCAGCTCTCGATAAATATATAATAATTTTGTTAAATTTCCTTTACTAGTATTATATATTGTATGGCAAACAAAATAATAAAACAGATTGTTGTAATTTCCATATCTGTATTTTAGTAGTAAGTAGTGATAGTCATAAAATAATTATTTATTCCTATGCGAAAAGTAAATAAATAACGAAACATCTAACGTTTTCTCATTTTCTCATCTTTAGTGCCAATGTTTAATGATGTAATACCCGTTCGTCGTATTTCTTCATGTACCATTCTTCTATATTCGTCTTCAACAGTCTTGATGGATGATTCCTCATTAAGAACGTCCAAAGGTACAAAACCTGCACAATCATTTTCCGTTTTCAATTTCAAGCGGATTTCTTTCAATCTTGTTTCCAAAATATGTTCACGTCGAGTTTCTCTATCAAATATCTGTAACATTAACTGCTTATCTCTCTCACCAGACAACACTAAATTATCAGAAAAAGATAATAGATATGTTGATCCCATCGAATCTCCTATTGCAACTAATCGTCCTTCATCATGAGGTTTTATTTTAAGTAATTGATATTTTGACAACGGTAATACAATAATAGGATCGCGTTGTTTACGTAAGAGATCCCAGTAACGAAATTTTCCATCTGCACTTACAGACATATAACTTGAAACTCTTTGGGGAGCCCACACTACGTCCAATATTTGATAGCGATGTCCCGTTCCAGCTATTATAGGAGAAATATGAATATCCTCACTCCAAATATGGACAGTCCAATCTCCACAGGTTATAAATATTTTGGAACTACAAAGACTACGATGTAGGGCTTTTACAGGCCCATTATGTGCATAAAATGTAGAGCTCATTATTTCTTGATGCGTTTTTCCTCTACGGTTGACGTTAATGACCATTCCAGTATCAGTTCCACATAGAAATTTTGTTGGGAAACTCTTATCAAATTGTAGACAGTTTACACCTTCAGCATTCGCCAAGCTCATTTGTTGGTCTAGAGGAATTCTAATAGACATTATTAATGAATCTAATGGTGTTGATAAATTTCTTATATCCCACCACATGCATTTACCATCAGTTGAACCACTGAAAAATTCTGTATTAAGACGAGACTGAACATACAATATTGCAGATACAGGATCTCGATGCGCTAAATGTAATGGGCTTAAATTAATTGGTGTAGACTTTGCACGAATATCAAAAATACAAACTGTACCGTCTTCTAAACCTCCAACTATGATAGACGGATGAATGGGAGAGCATATAGCTTGCCAACATGGAACCGGAGGAACAAATTTTGACATCGGTTTAACAGGATTTTCTATATTCCATACGTAACATTCCAGTGTCTTATTCATAGGCTTCACCAGAGGATATTTTTTGTTACAGTAAGCTATTACTAGTTTTGAATCTTCTTCGTAAGTCCAACTTATAGAACCTACTTGACGATTATAAGGGTCTTTATATACATTATTAGTACAAATATTGGATTTTTCAACCGGTTCTTCTGATGTCATTCCTTTAAAAAAGACATCATACATTTCTATAGCATTATTTTGATGTATATAATGCTCAAATTTAGGATACAAATTCATAATAGCATCTACATAAGCGTCATCACGTTCAATACGTCGACGATAACGAAAAGTAAATTCTTCATCTGTAAAATTAACATCTTTAGGCCAACCGCCTTCAGCGTGGTTGACACCTTCGTTGTGGAGAGTAACACTTTTCGTATTAATACAATGCTCAGAAATAGATAACGAAGCCTGAGTTTCTTCATTAATCGGATTTCGTAAGCAATACTGCTTTTGTTCTATTACATTTGGATTGATGGAATCTACCAAATGAGTAGCAACTTCAGAAAACATTGGCTGCCTACCAAAATTTTTACGTATCTTGAAATATGTGTATGAAATATTATCCATATTTTTTTATTTTATGAACATATAAACTCAAATAAGTCCTTAGTTTTAAAACTTCAGTTTGATGTACGTGACATTTTATGTTACGACTTTTTTATAACATATAAATTCCGTTTGTAGAATAGTGCAAATAGATCTAATCATAGCCCTCATTCACTAAATATATATTATATAATCACAAAATGTTATATTTGATGTATCCACGAAGCTGATATAGTTATGTGTCTATGAATGGAAAGACTATGAATCAATTAAAAATATAAATAAAATTTACAATTTTATTTTCTTGCTTTTGATTATTAATTAGCATAAAATTAAAAACATTCAATATATTATAAACACAAGATCCAGAATATGAAGTAGTTAGTTTCTTCATTTTCTGAAAGTAACTAAAATGATATGACAAGTAACATGTAAAATTACACTGTTAATCTTCCTAAAATAAATAAATAAATAAAATATGAAATGTAATGAACGTTGTGAGAACTTTGTATACTCTTATTTATATGTATTGAAGTGACTACCTACTTACTACTTGCATATATATGATATTATCAGAAAATATTGAAGTCTCTTATAAAGTCTACATACTGAGAAATTTATTTATATTATGATCGGTACAAATAAATTTAGCCTAACAACATAAAAATGATCTTGACAAATTTTAGAAGTAGATATCGAAATAATTTCTGAAGTAATATGTACATCTAACTACATTATCACAATTCTAATAGAAATCAAAACATACTATTATGAACAGACGTGACAAAGTAATAAACGTCTAATTTATACGTATCCTAAACCTCAATAAATATTATCCCCTATGTTGTGGAGATAAACAATATTGAGTCAGCAATTTAGCAATAATATGAGTTCAGTGGGGCGTCATGTTGTCTGCCAAATACATTTCGGCACCGTGCATAGTTTGTTACGTAAACTTATGTTTACTTATACACGCGCTATATCTGGTATCTACCAAAATTGAGTCACACTGTCGTACCACGCATAGATACAATGTATGTAATCGTTCTAAGTAAATTGAATTACCAATGTAAAGTGAACTCCAAGCCTTTAACGGGTAAAACATTGTTCGAGACTATATAATTTGGTTTAATGGTCCTTCGGATCGTAAAGGGAACATGAAAGTTTTTTAAAGGAAATATTCATGACGGTGTAGCTTTATCTGAATTGATTCTACATTTTGTTGGAGTAATTTAATTGAGAATGGTAATTTTGTTAAACTATACCTAAAGTGTGAATATTTAAAGAACAAAGTACAAAATAAAATGCAACAAATAAGTAGTATCTTTTATATTTTATTTTAAGTATCTTCTTTGTTTAGTAGTATGAGCGATTGTTATCTTACTAATATTATAAATGCGAAAGTTTGTGAGTATGGATGGAAGTTTGTTACTCTTTTATGCAAACGTAGTGTTTGCGTAAAAGAGTAACAAGAGAACGGATTTTGATGAAACTTTACACTACTTATACATCAGAATAACACATAGGCTATAATTTAAAAAGATATTATGCAAATTGGGCGATATATAATGTTAAGTGTGATGTAGACGAAATCGCGCGGATCAGCTAATGTACAATAGACATAAATATACAAAATATTTATGTGGTGTTATATTGCCCGAAGTTTTATTTGTAGTTTTCGCTTACACCATATCCCAAGCTATTGGGATAATAAGCAGCCACATACACTTCATATTTGCTTACTTGGCACCGTTTGCACAGGTCTAATGAAAATATTTCATTATCTCTCACCCGCTGTTTGTCGAGTTATTTCTTGACAAGGTAATTTTCTTTATTCCACAACTTCATATATAGGTTATGTCAAGAGTGAAGCTTTTTTACATCATATATTCAAATAATTATAAAAAATAAAATTTTATTTCACAAATAAAGCTATTGGGTATAATCGTGATTCATTTAATGATCATTGTTATAAAGTTATTCGACTGAAAACAGAGTTATCGATAAATAAAAATTAGCAAAGATATCATGTAAAATATTGTGTAAAAAAATTACATTATATTATTTTAATTCAAACAATTTCATATTATTTATATAACAATTTTGACTAATATTATATATTTTACATATAGTCTATATGTAAAATAGTTATATCATAATATAATATGTATATATACACTATGAAGTAACATATATAGAAAATTATAATAAGAAATTAAAGATTAAATAATAATAAATATTTTAAAGCAAAAAAAAAATGGTTTAATGTCAAAAACAAATATCCGTACGTAATTATAATTATTATTAAACAATTTTCCAATATTTTTGCTTTATAAATTATTCCGTAAAAGAGGTAAAAATTATACATATAGCGCTCACGTCAATGTTACCTGTATATTTTCATAATGTGGGAGAATGTTAATGGCGAATGTCCGGAAAAAGGTATTGACCCAATAAATGTTTAATAAAATCAATAAATACAAAGTTACCACTTATTTTGATATAAGAGCGATTTAGGAGTTTGTATACCACTGTGTAAGTAAATAAAGAAATAGTATACCACAAATTATTTATTTTTAAATTTACAAATATGTATAACAAAGCTGATTATGCAATATATGTATTATGCTGTATGGAAGCAAAATTTGGGCATATAAGAAAGAGTATGAAAGTAGAGTAAATGCGATTTAAATATGAACACTGCTCAAAATATGCGTTTTAAGCCTGACATGCTGTCTTATTTGGAATACGGATGGTCGTAAGCGAAGAAAAAAAAATAAAAGAGGGTTGTTTTAAAAAATGTGAAATTAAATGCTAGTTTGGATCATCTGTATTAACAAACTATTTGGAGGAAAGATTAATGTAACAGATATATAATATAACAGATATATAATATGAAGGTATATAGATTGAATACTTGTATGATGAATGCTCTACAAATAGCTTGCATGCATGAATGTGAATAAGGCAAGAATTGTGTAAGAACTTCTGTGTTCTTCTGTGAAATTACTAAATCACAGTGCCTAACTATATAACAATACTTCTTTTAGTGTTTATCTCCAAGATAGGAGGAGAAAACATATAAGAGGTGTACTTAGTTATAATTCTAGAATTCCCATTTGTGAAAAATGATTCAACGCACGTACTAGTCTGCTTAATGTATCGAATATGATCTTCATATTCGGTATTCTTATTCTTTTTTATAAATACTTGTTATGCTTTTTATGTTCGCAACATATGTGTTTGATAAATTGCAGGATATTGGGCAGAAAAACGTGTCTATGAAAAATTTATTGTAACAACGTTGTACTGTTTTATTTATTCCCGAGTTTCTATATTTGCTATAATGTTTTATTTTTTTTAACTTCTTCTTATTACTATTATTAACACTTTAGTTATTGTATATATTTAGCATTGAAGGGAGAAAATCTAAAAGTTTTACTTAGATAGAATACCAAAACATTCAGAAATGACAAAGATTAGCGTTCAAAATATGGAATTAGCATTTGCCACTGGCATTGCAATAAGGCTATTTTGTGAAGGTAATATTCCTGTAAATTAGTCATGGTTAGCTATTGACATCAAATGGTCCATCAGCTTGTTTACTGTACCAGTATCAAAAAACTCCTTTTTTAAAAATATAACTAAACTTTACAACTTCATTTAATATTATAAACCTAAGTACAGCTTAAGATTCATTTAATCCTTCCTTCTTTTCTTACAATGAATTTAACTTTGAGTTATTTATAAATATAAATTCTGAATATCTGATACCTTCTTAGGGAGATTACCTTCGAATTTCAAAATATTATGTCACAAACATTATAATATAATGATAACTTGAATGTTTGTTGACAGCGAACAGGTAATAGGCTATTAGTCGTCTCTACGATATGTCGCATTACTTGGTAATAGACAAGTTGAGTTTAAGTAATCATATGTATATACATATGTTGACATAGATACGAAATATAACTGAAAATTTTATGAATAATGTTATACACCTACAGATAAATTTAATTAATTTTGTATCTGAAATTACTTACCTGATGCTTTCAAAACATATTAATTACTTTGTAATAATAAATTATCAATACATTTATATTACTTTAAGTTTAAACCATTGAATTAATTAAAATACGCAGCATCAAATTCCTGTTATCTCGCTACTTCACTTAATTCTTGACTTTGACCTCCCTACATCGCCATTTTGGTTACCTATCTACCTTAAGTAACAGTCATGTCTTACAAGTGTCCCATCTCAAAGCGATGAGGATATTGCTGTTGACATAGGTCTCAGTGGACGAGGAAACGTAAATAACACTGTTTGTCAAAGGCTTAGACGGGTTTGCAGGAGATCAGAGCCGATAACATTGAGTGTCAGAAGGCTTCTCTTGGAAAAATACGTGATATTTACTAGAGGTAATCACACTTTTGCTAACATTATTTTTCTTACCACCTTCGTTGATATGAAAGAGTAGGAATCGGTAAGGGTAAACTTTGTTTGACTATTTCTTACACGTGTCAGTTTTGGTCCATATTTTAGTAAGTAAATTCAATGTTACCTATTTCAGTAAACTTTCTACATTGTGAAGTATAAGGTCTCTGACATTATTAACTGTTTGAGGTTTAGAAACTCAAATGCAGGCTGGCGTTTTAAATATTATATTGCTGTTGACGCATAGAAACCTGCAACCTTACCATAATATTTAGCTTTTCTTTTGTTGGAAATATCAAATTTTCATACATTAAAATAATTAATACAATTATGGAACTAAGTTATTTCATCATTACCTATTATATTTAGAAACGGTTCTATCTTTTAAAAAATTATGACTTAATTTTATGTATGTGTATAAAATTGAAACGATTTTATAATCGAAAGGCTTCAATAGATTTACGTTATTAAATCAGTCTGTTCTGTACGTTAAAACGTTTTAAGTGCTATCCGTGATTTATTTCAATGATATACGTAAACAGGATAAAAGTACTATTATTACATTATAAGTTTTCTAAATCTTCAATTTACTATTCGTACTTTTTTCTATAATAACTATTTACAGTTTATATTTTATAATGAGCTGTTTTCAGGAACTTCAAGTCAAAAGTGGTACCTAACTATGCTAATAAGAGCTTTTCTTAATTTTGTTATTTAGATTGTCCAATCGCGTTTCGGTTGGCGTAGAATTTCGATTGTTGTTCGTAAGTATCTACTTATAGCTTTGCATTTAAAAATTTTATACAGACGCATCCAATTTTCTGATAAATACACTTACATATAATATTCTTACTATGTTGTAAGAATAAATGCATGCTTTGTAAACTGTGCTTCGGCTGAACTGTGTAAACACTATGCTGAAACCTAAATGGCTTCTTAAACTTATTGTAAACCGAACTCAATACTATTTTACTCAAACCGACTTATTACTGTTTTCATTACTACTCTAGTGACCTATTTCTACTAACTATTTTTTCCCTATAATGAAAAAGAACGTATAATTTTTTATACACTGTATTTATGACATGTACGAATACATTGAAAATTGAAGTTACAGTTCTTAGGCCTCCGGTATGACATCATATATGTGGTATCACGTGATAAACTGATGTTGCAGTGCTGTTCGTGTATTTAGGTGATTGTTTTCACATACTTAGGAAAACTGTCGTAGACCTAATTATTCCAAAACTCTAGAAGTACTTTATGAAGTTTTGAAATAACTAAGTACTTTTTACATAACTCTGTTGAGTTTTTTTATTTCTCGTAAATCGAATTGTAATCGTTATCATAATATAAAATGTTTATGTACATTTTTAATTACTGAAATATTTAATGAACCCTCTGTTAGCAGTGCTGTATTGCTTTGAAATATTATTAAATGAAAATCTGTAAACGTAAACAATTTAGCTACAGTACAGTAGTAGGTGGTTTAGACAATTAGCGTTATGAGATTGATCCCAAGATGCTGTTGTTAAATTTTAAAAGCACAATAATATTAATCCAACAGTGTACGAATATTATCTATAGTAAAATTGTAGGTTTTATTGTTGTAAATTAATTAATGTCATTTAAGTTGTGGAATAATATAAAACATTTGCGATTTCTGGAAATATTTAAAATTATTTACACAATGAATTAACAATAATAATAGCTGTATATAAAGATGGCCTAATTTTTTTTATATACCTACACACCGACATCAGAAACAAAGGCAACGAGCATGACCATACAGCCTAGTCATAAGTTTTAAAGCTTTCGAAATACCCAAGATTAAGGTGAAATTGGTTATTATTACTTTTTTATTCCAAAGATTGCAAAAGGCGGTTAAATTGAGAGAAAGACAAATTAGAAACTTTACTTATTATAAAAATATTTTATTTTCTAGTAATATATACTACTACCTACTTAATTTTAATTATGAATGTCATTATTAAACTGACACCGACTCTTATTTCAACCCAATTTGTTCATATCCTAATAGTTGATAATTCCATTAGCATTTCGTTATAAAATTTTACAGTTCGTTTTACACGAAATTCACGGCTCGTGCTATGCGAATTATAATTAAAATGTTCAGCCCTTTGTCGGACTTCAAGATATAAATTAATAATAATATAAACTACATTTGCATTGTCACGTCTGACGAAGCGGAGTGTTTTAATTAATTTTAATCCGTTTGTTTCTATTTCCTGCAGGTTTTTGTTTACAAATATTTGTTGAAAGACTTCTTTCACGGTTCATTTTTAGATGGATGATTTAATACAGATGATTTAATACAGATATTACAAATCATCATCATCATCATCGGCAGGATGCCTCGGAATCTCCACGACGATCGGTCTATCATCTTGACCAGATCGTCGCTGCCTTAACTGTCCTACGAGCTATGTGCCCTGACCGTATCGATTCTTCGGGCTACTCTCTCAGTTAGGTATAATAATAATTTATCATCTGTGAGCACACTTTGCGAAATAGCACCGCCAGTGACATAAAATTAAGTACCAACCACTTCAATATGAATTTCTAATTTAAGATTGAGGGAAATTATATAAACGACTCCTCCAAATGGTGTGTATTTAATCTGAAAGTATAAACGTTTATATTAGACGTCCATGAAATAATTTGTCCATGTTTAGGATTGGTTATCTCTGGTGTAAGCGGAGAGAATTAAGATCATGCACTAACTTTTTTTGTATCTTATTATTATTGAATATCGAAATTAATATAACAGATATAGATGTATTATTCATTGTTTTACTTAATTATAACATAACTTGTTTACTGAAACTTTAATATACGGCAGTGAAATAAATTACTGAATCCGAAGGCATAAACGTTTTAAGCCTGAAATGACTGAGTATTATTTATTTATCGAACATAAATATTAGAGAATATGAAAATAGAGGTGGACCACATATCAACTTCATAATATTATTATGTTTTTAGTATAATCACAAAATCGGCTCACAATCAATCTATTTGGGACAGGTGACGATCTGTAGATTCGTTCGAACTATGCGTGAGGCGGTGACTGTGTCGGCAGGTCAATCACTTTATTTATAAAAGTTATTTTTAATACAACCTTAAAATTATAGATTTACGTAAGTTTATTAATTATTGCTAAAGGATCACTTAGCTAAGGTACTTAAGAGGCAATACTCATTTTCCTAATATTATTATAAATATTTCTATAGAAATAATACTAGTATAATTTTCTTCCCAGTTCCCGTTCCTCTGTACACTTTACCTTATAAAATTTCCTGAAATTTAAGATACCCAGGGCCCATACTAGATCACACTTTGACAACCTTATCTATATATATATAACTCAAAGGTGACTGACACAGCTGAAATTTGGTATGCAGGTAGATGTTATGACGTAGCATTCCGCTAAGAAAGGATTTTGATTAATTCTACCCCCAAGGGGATAAAATAGGGGATGAAAGTTTATATGAAACTTTGTCAATTTTAAACCGATCGGGTTGAGACTTTGCATGCATAAATCTACTATGACGTAGGCATCCCCTAAGAAAGGATTTTGATAAATTCCACCCCTAAGGGTATAAATTAACGCGTGCGAAGCCGCGAGCAAAAACTAGTATATCTATAAATTTCTCTATTACATGTTCGCTTGGAAAATTCGAAACGCTTATTTAACAGTTTTCAAACAAAACCATACAAACAAGATCGAAACGGGAAATTAGCTGATTTCCTGTTTCAATTATGTTTGTTTTACGTTGGAGTCTATGGAAAAGGTTGCTGAGGTAGTGCTATACGTACATAGGTAGGTATTAATTCAAGTCCTAGATTTATTTATATTACGTATTTATGTTCTTTTATGTAGCTGGCAAATATTTTGACGGCCCATCTGATAGTAATTCATAACCATCGCCTATATACATGAACAACACTACGGACATCACGTTATCATGAATGATGCTCGTGATACGTAATGTACATAATATATGTAATAAGTTCTATTCCTATAAGCAATAAATAATTACCACACGAGTTTCTTCTCAGAAATACTTTTCTATAAAATGCAATCTCTATTTCGAACCTGATCAGGTGACTGAACACACTTCGATAACGAAATAACTTGTCCTTGATATGACATTATGAAGTGAGTTTAAAAAAAAAATAATCGAATTCTAATGACTGAGACACTTCGCCAGTTCCTTTCAAGTGAAATAAGTAAAAAAAAATTGCTGAACTGGACAGTAGGGAAACTAGTAAAAAATGTTAACATGTTAAAAAAAATAAGTCACATATAATGATCGAAATTATTTATTGTGACTTATAAAATTGTAAATGTAACATATGCATGCAATTTTATAGTAAGCTAATTACGTAAAGTACTTACGTCATGTAACTTACAAAGGGATATAAGTGTAAAAGCACCCTAATGTCTTGAGGAAGATTAATGAAAGTTCCCTTCACTTTACACTGGCACAGCACACTTACAAAATACGAACAACAAAATTACCTTAAAGCAGGTTTATAGTGCTTTTATATGAACACTTTCGTGCAACAGGGAAAATGACTGAATTCTTTACTTTATGATCGGACTCTAGTAGGAATTAGAATTTACGGAATCGTAAAAACTATAGTTTTGTTGTCGTAAAGTAAAAATGTTTTTAAAAAACCTGTTAGGGGAGATATGTTTTATATACATTATTTTTTCGCAAACCGAATATATTTTATCCACAAACAAATAATGATTTTTTTGCATCAACCAAATAAAAGACTAGTTTTTTAAATGCACTTTATTCACAATATGGTTATTGCAGTTACAGGTATTTAGACCGAACATGGGTTTCTGAATTAACTAAAACTAAACCAAATTTGCAATGTGATGTCGATAGTTAGGCTATTTATTCGCATACATGTTATGAATAAACTTGAAGTGCTTTTTGTCACGAAAGTGATAATCTCTTTATATCTCGTAGGTTCTCAGATCCTACTTACAGTGGTTTATAGATATGTAAGTATCATATAACATAAAACAACAGCAGCATTTACTATTTAAATAAAGTATGATATAAGTATATTAACTATTAAAGTTTTATAAAGATAAAATAAAAATTTAAAAATAAACTTATATCTTAAAAAAATTAAGATTTATTTAACTTTATCTTTAGACTACTTAAATTTTGTATTTATTTATTTATTGTTTCCGTTTTTAACATAAATTTAATGTAAATTTGTGTAAGTTAAGTAACTTTGGATACTGTAAGTACCGAGTGGAAACAAAAAATACTACCTAGATTTGTTGGCACTGAAAAATTATTTGAATATCCAATTCCGATTTCGTTCTGATGTTAACATTTTATACGAAATTATATTATCACTCTTTCCTGTTTCTAATACTAAAATATATACCTAGATATATACGATTGGATAGACAGCAAAATGACAACAATATCACATACCTCCTGTGTTGTATGTTCTAGGCGTATAATAGGTACAAAGGGACTTCACATACAGATTATGATATTGTGTGTCTATTACTTTAACGGGGAGCTTAAATTAATTTTCATTGAAAAAAAATTAAATAAATATGAAATTGAGAATGAAATACTAGCATATAATATTGCATATTACATTTCGTTTACAACTGTCTTTTAAGGGAAGGTATCTAGTTCTACTGCTTTTATAATTGCATAATTAATGATTCATTCAGAATTAATTAGATCCATCGGAATTTGGTCTGTTTGGGTTACGGCTACTGATTATATTACTTATTTTTGACAAAATGCAATAGCTTATGCTGGTGGTTACTATATTCTCCATAATTGAATTTAAAAATGAATATATAATTTTGTTAATGTTTTAATATTATATTTAATAATGTAAAAAAACTCATTTAAAAAGAATAAGACTTGAGTTTCTTGTGAGTTATTCATAAGCACTCTGAACAGACGGTAGATTTGACATATCATAAGAGTCTGCAATAGACCTCCATAAATAGAGATTTTGACTTCATTGATTTAACTTGAATTATTACGGTGCTTATAAGATTGTACCTTTGTTTCTATGTTTATTAACCTTTGTATCCATTTGCACTTAGTTCAACTATGTGAGAAAGAATTATTATATTACAATAATTTTATTATTCATGTAAAATAAATGTTCAACGTCAGAAAAGAAGTGTAAAAATTTTTCACAGTGTATTTATATTGCTAATTTGTTTGAACATGTTAAATATGTTATATGAACTTCATTTATGAAAAAGTTCTCTATAACAGTTATTATCAACCTGTTACATAACATATACGTACATAGTTACCTCTAGAATTACATCGAAGTTAAATCACAGTCTTTGCTAAGTTTATGAATTCCTTTTCGTAATAATAAATCATTATTATTACATTGCGTTCCACTTGGCTCTCTAATTACAAATAATTATTAAGAACACAATTAGGCCCAGGATATCCTAAAAAACTGATACGTGTATCAATAAAGTAACCGATAAAGAAATAGCGTATTATAATTTCCACTTTTTTGATAAACGATTTCACTTTTTTGGTCCCGAAGTCTACCAAAAATAGTTTTTACGACGTTGTTAGTTCTTCAATCACAGCTTAAAATCTCTCTCTTTGTCTATCTCACTGCTGATACTGCAACGACAATATTTCTTCTACTTTTATTTCTAGTCAATTTCACTATCCTATAACTGAACTTATGTTTTTCATGAAAGTCTATATTGTTTTTTATCCGTGATTCTTTTAATTTTTCTTTTACTTTTATCCATCGATCGTTTTTCCAATCGTATTTCTTTCCCATCGTTATTAGAATGTCTTCAAATTTTGGCCAATTTGTGTTACGTTTCGGTTCATTATGCGTAACACTGATATCATTTCTGAAAAATACATGTCTATTCGTTTCCGTCTCGTTTGTAATACGTTCCTTGTGCAAACGTGGAAAAGGTACATCACTGCTGGCAGACTGTACATACAGTTTTATTCGCTCCTCTTTGTTCGCGTTCGTTCTCGGTAAATTGCGACTCCATGTGTTTGGTTCATATTTGTAGTGTATTCTATCAACATTATCTCCCTTAAGCCTCTCGTCTGGGTACACGTCGTAAAAAGCTTCTATCTCTCCTTCGATTATATCTGTATAGAAAAAAAAATTGTTAAAAACATTTAATTTTACTTTTTCAGGGAGATTATGAAGATTCATAAAATAAATAATGAATAAATCACAAAGATCCACTACATAGTTGGTAGTCTCCCATATGTTCTTTTACCTTAGTAAGGGCATTAAAGTTATATGAATAATATAAATTATATGATTGATGTTGTTCATATTTAAAAACGTATGTATAAAAAACTAAGCGAGATCTTTACTATTGGAAATAATTAAAATATTATTACACAACTCGCATATCAGGACAAATGTAATAATCCCCGAACCAGGGACCTTGTTCCGTTATTTATTTCATCACAGTCAAAAACTCCATGTTGTATTATGGTGCCCAATGAAATCAGTTCTGCGGTAAAAATAAAAATTTCATCCCGGTCCAATTGATATTAAATTATAGCCTATATTTAACCTATTGAAAATAAACAATAGTCAGCTGGCTTTAGCAATTAGTAGCACATACATATAAAAAATTTGGAATTTTCTCATGTTCTCAACTATTTTACAAGTTAGTGTTATTTAATTATAATTTGATAGCAGTTTGGACCGGGAGAAAATTACTTCTTGACACGTTAGTGAGGTCGATGTTCCTCAACCTACCCTTGAAACCGCAGATGACTTTCACTGGGCTTCATAACAATTGTAACCATCTTAGAAGTTTTGCCTAGGAGAAATTGATCATCTTGGCTTATTGCTGCCTCGTAGATAGAAATACTATATAAATATTGGTATTATATCAAAAACATACTTTACATTTTCCAATACGCTTTATCAAAATTATCATTAGACCTGATTTCACTATAGTTGAGGCGTATATAATAATATGCAATATCACGGAACTCTATAGGATTAATATGCCAATAAAATCATAGATATTCTAATATATATTAAACTAGTTTTAATATATATTAGAATATCTATGATTTTATTGGTGCCAATATATTGTGTATTTTATCATAATAATGCTGAAGACATTTTAAAATTTTATCTTAGTACTGTCTTTTTCCGCGGCAACACGTTCCTAACAAACGTTGGATACTTACAATTGTTATTCGTCGCGTAAAGCAAGCAGCTACAAAACGTGATATCAAAGGAGCTTTGTGATTGGAAGACACACCCATCTTTTTGTCTCTCTATATAGGTAACGAGCTTTCACAAAAAAATCCGTCGAGGTAACGTACTTTTACTTATCAAAGTTGTAATAATTATTATATTTGATTAATAAATTAAAATAATTCAAGTTTCTTGAAGCTGTTGAAGACATCAGCACCTTCCATATATAGGTTACATTATTATTCTATTCAAAAGTAAAATATATGTATTTACTTTATACTATTTGAGGAAAACGGTATACCAATCATAAATCAAACATACCAGCCATCTTTCTGAATGCTTCAATATCGTGTTGAAGATTTTCTTTTCTTTCTTTTTTCTTCCAACGCCCATCTCCTTGACCTAAGAAATAAAGATTTATTTTTAGCCCTCAAATATATTACTGAACAAGGATTTTGTTGGATGCTTGCTATGCTATTTCTCTAACAAAAAAATATTTATTATTCAAGCTGAATGAAATGCTTCTTCTGTACCTAATAGGTATTATTATTATTATTACAAATATTTTATAAATTATAATTGTAACATAATGGAATACCATGTGGGCGATTCATTTTCATAACTACTGAAAGAATCAGAGTTTTTAAGTGAATAAACTAAATTGACTAAAGTATCTATCTACTTAAAGAAGACTACTTACTAGCGCAGTATATTATGAATTATAAGTTAACGAACTCGATTCAATTTATTACTTTATCAACGAAATGTTTAGTTGATAAAGCATATTTGAATATTTGTAGTAAAAATATATTTGTACTCACCTATACAAATAGTAAGGATGATCAAATAACACGTGCAGTGCAAACAACCCATTTCCTATATAACCTGCAACAATATTTAATTAATCGTCAAAGCTTTGAACTAAAATAATAACATTTGATTGAAATATGTAATTTAAACAGTTTTGGAAAATATATAAGCTATTATGCTGTGTGTTAACTGAACCTGTTCTATACACTAATATTTTATGACTAAGTACCGAAATTTTCTTAGTAATTAAAATTAAATTTAATTAGTCTTTTTCAAAGTGAATAACGGAGCGTTCGACTTCAAGATGAAGTCGAAACAATTGTCCGGAAAGACGTAAACACAGTAAGTTCATTAAATTCTTGTGCAATTATAAAATGTTCGACGGCCCATGTAGTCTATACTTACCATAGAGTTCATATTATAAAGACTAAAGAAATAATAATAATATTTCAGGACAATTCACACAGCGCCATCTAATCCCAAGCTAAGCAGAGCTTGTTTTATGGGTACTAGGCAACTGATATAAATACATGGATACATTTTTTTTTTAAATAAATATATATTATACATAGAAAATACCCAGACCGATACAAACAATCATACTCATGAATACAAATGTTTGTACCGTGCGAGGAATCGAACCCACGACCATCGGATAGTAAAGCGGTGTGCTAAACCACTAGACCACCGAGGCTGTCAAAATATAATATAATATTAATTTTAATCATTGTATCACGACCATTTTATTTATTAATATAGTGAGATAATAATAATTTATTTTATTTCATGCGAGAAACAGTTTAAGTATACATGTGCCCTTAAAGTATATACTTTGACCTAAAATATATAATATTATTTTATAGATACCTACGTAAAACATAACAAGTGACCTTTCAGAAATAAGCAATGTAATGTTTGAATTTTGTGAAGTACAAGTACAGGAGTTAAATTTCCTGCATAAACACTCTTTATTATTTTCGCAACTCTATAACTGAATTTAATGTATATAATATTGTTATTATATAATAAACAACATGGACTAATAGAATACACAAATGAAGAAATAAAATATCCATGGAAAAAATATATGGTTGTATGAATAAAATCTTATGTTATTATTATTATTTATTAGGATTTTCTTACTAGTTTGCACTAACATTGCAACGAAAATGTATACGTGAGTTATTTTATATATAGCGTAATCTCTGGATTTTATCATCATCATACATTACATATATTGAAAAAAGCACCAGTAGAGTAATACATAATTACATATGGACAACAGGACTAAGACGAAATAAAAATAATGATGATGATATATTATCAGTAACACAGGACGATTTACACAGCGCCATCTGGTCCCAAGCTAAGCAGAGCTGTAATATCTACAAACAAGCTTATGTTATGGATACTAAATACAAAATATCTATTGTCCATAACACGAGCTAGCTTATACAAATACTAAAATGCATTTTTATGTCTATACATTTATAAAAATGCATTTTAGTACATTTACAAAAACCCAGATATATACAAACATAGTATAAAATAAAAATATACTGCCTCGGTTCCTCGCACGCATGCTCACATATGTTTGCATCGTGCGACAAAAAAATATAAAAAAAAAAGTATAGAAATTACTAGAAAATTTTACGTCTTCAACGTAATGTAATGTGTATCTAACTATATATGTAGTTACAGATTTGCACACAAAGACTTGCCAACTAACCTAACGAGATTTAGAAAGGTGGTAGCTTTTATGAAAAGAACTTCCTTTGAGACGAGATTTTCCATATTATTAAATATTTTACATCTATGAGTATTATACAATATATGATGTAGATACTCATAAAATAACAAAATAATGTTATAGTATAATATTTTGAAATGAAAATAAAAAAATTATAATTAATAATATATATATATTAATTACCATGTCTTGCAAAAGAAACTATGTTTGTATCATACAGTGGTCGGTGAACTTATAAATTGGCTATTTTAATTTCACCCGCTTCTTTACCTTCCCCCTTTCATTTCCTTATCAATACAGAACAAAAAAGGCTTTTCCCAGATATTTTATAAAGATTCGACTGATGAAACTATTACACAAAATGCATTTTAAAGCATTTATACTCTAGTCAGTCAGCGGGTCACTGATGTCACAATAGCAATTCAGCCACTCAGGATATTTCTTTAACATACATATACATAGATTTGATCAAGATAGTATTTTCTTGCTGTTTGGCAATTTGTAATTCTCATTATATTAGTGTAAATTTGTACACATTTGTTTAAAAGCGCAACAGGCAAGTTTTTGTTCCATTGATCTTGACTGATCAAGATAAGAAATGGATTGAATCGACCTAGAATAAAGATTGTTTCCATTTCTATAACTTCTATAATATAATTCCTTTAGGCATCTGTCAATCTGTTTAAGCATTATTTTAATATTGCTTTATTTATGTGAACGTAGAACATAACTTCAACACTTTTCGTCTTATACTTGGATGATTATATAAATAAGACAATCGTGTTCCATCTCAGAAAGAAACAATATTTTACAAATTCAGACAATCCACATTCCCGAGGAGTTATCATTGGGGTTTGTTAAAATTAGATTTATTTCCCCTCAAAGTCGCGCCGGCTGAAGGTGAACAGTGGCGACTTTTTAATTCGTTTCGTTTTCTGTGGCCCTTCCTAATAATAAAGAATCTAATTAAGGCAAATTTAATAACATTCCCTGTCTATTGTACAAAAAATATTCACATTTTATATCCGACGTTTTAATGTGTTGTGAATATTTGTTTTTCTTTTATCAAAACGTAACAATGGGTATTCATACTAATATTATAAATTCCAATGTGTGTATGTCTCTGTTTGCTACATTTCAAACTTGTCTGGGCCGACTATAATATTGTTAAAAAGTGGGTTTTTAAAACAAATTAAATATAATAAATAGTTTTTAATAACACTAATTATAGTATATAATATTTATTTTATAAAGAAAAACAGTTGACATAAGACACAAACTTTACAAGCATTGATCTTAACCTATGACAATTAAACAAAGTCATCAGTTATGTTTATTTACAACGGTCTCTGCACTAAGAGTAACTTATTTTGCAAAGGCTTACTATGTTTTACCTATTACTTTACTCTTTTAGGACGGTCAGTTCTGATGTAATTAAAATTTTAATCTAATAATAATAATATAATATCCCTGAACAATTCACACAGCGCCATCTAATCCCATGGCAGGTAAGCAGAGCTTGTTATATGGGGACTGGATATAAATACTTAGATGTATATTTTTTTGCCGATATCAATCATACTCATGGTTACAAATATTCTCTGACAATCGGAAGTAAAGCAGTGTGCTAAACCGCTAGACCACTGCCATTAATCTAACTGCAAAAAGTTTAAATCTGATTTAGATTTAGTGGTAATTTATTCATTAATATAAAGAAAAACATATCGCATATCTACGTATAACAGTATATACAATAATAATAATCTACATATGTATTATCAAACTATCTAATTATCACATAATATGTATATACACAGCAAACTCAGTAGGTAAGTGTTACAATAAGTTTAGGGTCTGGACTGACAATTAAGCTAAATGAGGGCTATTGTGCCCGGTACATTCTCTGTATACATATATACAGAGAATGTGATCTCTCTTTGATACATAGTAGGCTACATGCTTTGAATTCAGCGCCTGTTTCTACACTACAACGACTATTATATATGTCTTAACAAACAGATTGTTAAATACGTAAATCTACGTAATGTTGAATTATAGTAAATAATGCCTTAATTTTTATACGGAGTTACGTACGTATAGTTAGTATAAGCACAGATAACATAATATTACATAGTATAAGTACGTAAAAACCAAACGTACGTAATGTATAAGATATAGGTACCAAGGTAAAACCTAGTTAGGTAAATAATGAAACCTAGAAAATCTGAATATTAATTCTGAACTTTTCATCCGCAATCGTTAGATACAAACAATGGCCACATGACTGTTCTTTTCATATAATTATAAAAAATATAGATATATATATATTATTAATTTTTAATTTTTACATCTTGTTTCAATATCGATTTCATACTATCACTAGCCTCCTGTTTAGTATACACATCTACAATTGACTCTACATGTATATATACATTCGGTACTCGTTTGTTAATCTATTTTAAGATCTATACCAAAATATCCAAAATATAGCATATGTATGTACCATAAATGTAAAGCATCTCATGCAAATTACAAATATTGTAAAATAAGCGCAAAAATTTATTTCAAAAATTTGTAATTTTTGAGTTATTGTAATATTGTACTTAAGACTACGAAATATATCTAAATGATGTTTACCTAATGGTAATGAAAATACAATCTTACAGGTGTAATCTGAACCATAAATAAATATTGCCTATTCGTCTTAGCTATCGACATATATTATAGAAACACAAATTTAGAGTTGAAAGGCTCGTTCCAAATATTTGTAATGTTTGAGTTAATGCAATGTTATGAATGCGAAAAATGGCTGAAGGATAAATATTTACCTAATCATTTTAGATGCCCATTATCATTACCTAGGTATTCCTAAACAAAATAAATATTTTTTTACCGTTCGCATACCTATTATAAAAAATTATTAGTGATTATACTGAACTAATATAAAATATTTTTGTACTTATAATAATTGTTATTTCATTTAAATATTTTTAATATCTTCGTGTAAGTTGAACAAGATTGTTATGATTTAAAAAATTATATTTTAATACTTTCAAAGCACATGAGACAAAATTCTAAAAAGTAGTTCAAGTGAATGTAGATTTTAGTTTAATACCTATTCATATTTCACTGGTTATAGTACAATAACAATATAGTATAACAGTGCCTCCCTCTAAGAGTGTATCCGTGTTGTATGACTATATTAAACACAATTTCGATTAATTGAAAATAAATTATATTTAGAAAAAGAAAAAAATATGTTAATATTTAATAATTTATTTAACAACTGAATTATATGATTTCTGAAAATAAAAAAGCTATTGTAAAAATTCAACAAAGTACCTTCAGGGCAGAAACAGTCCGTAAACTTTAAGCGCCTTGATAAAATACTGTCTCTATTTCCTTGGCAAGTATCAGAATAAACACAACATCTACTCTAGTCACAAAACTTTTTTCTATTCCGACACGAATTTATTTGTATTTAACAGACAGAAAGCACGTACTCCCCTATTCGGATACCGTGCGAGACTGATTTGCTCGAGCTGCCAGTTTGTAGAATCCATTTTCCCTACCCTTTCCCTCATTCGCCTCGACTTTTACAAGCAATAACATTTCTGGGTTCGTTCGGTACCACTAGATAAGTCCCCGTGATAATCGAGCAATGAACGCGAGACAATACAATGTTTTCATACGACATTTTCGTCAAGTGATGTTTAGTAAATGTATCGGCCTGATTTCTTACTACCATCCTATGTTAGTCCTCTTTATTCCATCATGCTGAAATTTGTATTGCAGGTTTGCAAGGTGAGCTTTTCAATCAAACAGCCTTTCGATTCTATAGAAATTGCCTAGACGCCATTAATATCAGGCGTTAATTAACTCTTGATGGCCGGCCACTATTCATTTACCATTAATAGCATAGAATCAAAACACTGTTTACTTACTGTTCTATAGTTCGGTATTCATTAATACAGATAGTAATACTCAACTACCTACAGCCGACTTCAAAATGAGGGAATTGTAATTTATAGTAACAGTTTATTTTTTGTAAGTATTAACTGCATTTTATTTGTATTGGTCCTACGTTATATATGGTACATTCATCAATTTTGATATTCTTTAAAGAAAATTCTACTTACCTTTGTAAGACAGTAGGTACATTGTGTTAATTGCCGACGTAATAAAGCAATAACGAACACTTTAGACTTTTAATAAATACTTATTATTAGCCTCATTAAAGTAATTACCCATTACTATTTATTATTATTTACCATTAGTATAAATGTAAATTTCAATAGTGATGGTCTCCATAGTGAAACTGTTTACCTCACCGCTTTACTTCCCATTATTGCCGGTTCGATTCCTCGCGCAATATACGTAGGTATGTATAAAAATTTATCCGTTTACAAAAAAAAATACTTGGGACTGAATGGTACTGCGTGAACTGTTACTAGTTTATTCTGGAAATTATCATGATTACCTAATTTATAATGGATTTGTTGTGTTAGGATTGGGATGAAATCAGGTACATCATCTTAAATTCTTAATCCCATCATCTTCCACTGGTATCTATCACCACATACCACACTATTATCGTTCTATAAAAAAGGTACATGGATTTTAAAGAGGTAGGTATAATACTGATACAGTTAATAGGAATATTGATTACCAATAGATATACCTACCGCTGTTTTTGTAAACTATCGATTAAAAAAAAACTTTTTTTGTAGAAATAAAAGACAACGAAGTCTTTTATGTCTACAAAAAAAGATACATTCGTTATGAATATTATTTTTTTACTTAATCTCTTTCATGTATAGCTGTGGCAGATTTTTTACGTACGTGTTAAATAAAACAAAATCATTAAAAGGTTTGTCGTTTACAAAAATGTCCATTAGAACCCTCCTCAAATTCTATCTAAGCTAGCGGATCAAGGCTTTGTCTTTTGCGATATTTTTTCGAGGCTCTTTTTGGGCCCGTCGACTCCTGTTACCCTCCTCTTTTGTAAAGCGACGCATGGAAATAAGTACATACACATTTTGTGAACCTTCTACATGTTTTGTTATGTACAGTCATCTACGAGGATAGGATTTGGACAACCTAAAGTTAACTAAGTCTGTCTATTTTATTTTTACGGTTAGAATGCCGACCCGTTATTACGTTAACAAGAAAAATATTTACAATTAATTTGGCTTTATAATTGAGATAAGGTGTAGTTTCTAATTAATGTTTTATTATGTTTTATGAATTCAAATTACTAAGTTTTAAAGGTACCTAAATGAAACAAAAATAATTTACGGTGAATGTTATCTGAAAAAGCCAGAAGGTTGTGGTACTTATTTTTGGACGGCATAAAGTTCTTACTTATTTTAAGATGATTTTTAAATAATCTAATTAGTTTGAATTTATATTAATACAAAGTAAGTAAACGTATAAAACAGCGTATGTAATCTAATTTTTTAATGTTCTATAAAATATATGTACAATCAATAATTTAATCCGTAGGCGATATAAAAAACTCAAGAAAAACATAAACAAATAATAAATAATTACTGGCCGCGTCATTATTGTATAAATTAGAGAGCCGTATCCACGTAATTTAATTAGATTTAAAACGAACCTTTAATTTTTAACGTCGAAACAGGATTTCACCGCATCACCCGTCCCGTCCGGCTTGAAAATATTGTCTGATGGCCGTACCCAAAAAGCTATTTTCGTAAATCGTTAATCAGTCGTCGGAGCGGAAAACTGATAAGCAGACCTTTCGCCAATTAACTTAATGGTGATTCTTTTTCGGCCTTGGCGTAAATGGCCAGTTTATTTGGTGGCCAGTGTAACCGATCGGCAGATGTCACTGAGGTTTATATATATAGGTAATGTAATTGATTTATGTTAAACCCTATATCTATTAACCTATGCAAATCGTGATGATATTGTGGCACCAATTTTTTCATTTACAGTCATTTAAAATGCAGCGGTACCTAACAACATCGTTCAATAGTTATGCATAATTGAGCGGAATATCTGCAAAGTCAGACTATCAATATTTATGTTGTGTGTTGCTCACAGATAAAATATATTTCAACTTACAAATAAATTAAAATGAAGCGTCTGTTTGTAATTTCAAATTAACAGCTTTTCACTAAATGGATATGAAAGCATATAAGATACTTACATAAAAAAATAATTTAAATATAAATTATCTGTCTGTCTATCTTTTTGTTCTAGCTAATGTTACAAGAAGTAACTTTAGTTACTTTATTTTTTAAAAGAAGTTAAATTTCACGCAGATAAACTATCGGCTAACAGCAAGTAATAAATAAATTTAATGAAAACTACTACTACTAGATAATATTGGGATTTTAATTTTGAATAAGGCAACAACATTTTTCTAAGAGACTCACAGCCTTTTTTTTTAAATAATAAGCTTTCTTTATATATATAAATATAAATATATGGCATTAAAATAATAAGGAGTTCTATATCTAACAGATAACTTCAAGATTTTAATTATTTCTTTATACAGTTGAGAAATATTTTAGGTTTCCACCTACGCAAACGCAAATTTCTGTTGACACGCTTTTCTAAATTTAGATGACATCAAAGTTTCTTGTTCATTATATGTCGTACCCATTAAGAATATTTAATGTGGTGTGTAGCTACACCACATACTCGTAATTACTGAACTGTACTTAACTATAGATTTAACCTTAATCAAAATGGTTTAAAATATATATTAAAGTTTATAGTATATTAAAGATTTTATTAACTGAAAAATAATGAAAATAAATGACGATTTTAAGGTCAATATTACTAAAAACAAGATTTAAGTGTCCGTCATTCTCATTTCAATTTAGGTTTATCAAAGTTGAGCTCCCAAATTTGTTGCGGAAGGGAAATATAAATTTTCACAAAATTAGATTGTTTTGCTCGAGAGTTTTTAAAGCTACAAGGCACTTTAAAAATAATTGGTAATTTTATTTTAATTATGTATAATATAGTAGCAATTATTGTGAAATAAAAAAATGTTTTCGTTTCATAAAAACGTAACGATGTTTCTAAAATCTTTTAAAATATTTAATACATTTATTATTATAAATAGTCGCAATCAATGTAATCATCAAAATATATAATAAAAAATATTCAATTTTGTAATAAATTTCCTGATGTTCTGCTTGGTATATCCATATTGGTCTTCCAACTTATTAAGGTATACTTAATTTACTTTTCATTGGTTTGGTTTTGCAAATATATAAATGAAACATATAAATAAGCTAAGCAAGGTTTACCTATTTGCGTTGGGATCATGCCTATAGTAGTCAGTATGGGAACTGCTTACCGTTTTTTAACACTGCAATAAAACAAGAATTATACATATACACCTAGTCATATGTAATTTGTTTTCATTACAAAATAACGCTTTTTTTTCCAATCGCTATGTTCCGTCAAATACATTGCCTGCTAGGAATGGAGAGAAAATAGTCAATATGATGCACTAGGTCTTTGAAGACCTTATATATTTTGAATCTAAATTGACATACGGTCTATGAGACCCAATAAAAAGACCGTCCAGTCAATTAATTACTATATATAACTTAAGTGGATATGTAATATTTATTTATACGTATTTAACTAATACAGTTATTACGTGTCTGGAAAAAACTCCTTAAGGACTCCGTATGGGTAAATTTGAAACGTTTTAATAAAAGGTAAAAAAATATAGAAACTCAGACTTCATGATTCCACCATAAATATCCACAAACTAAGCTCGATTTAAGGCAATGGATAATATATTCTTTATATCCAACAGTTTTAGTAGTTTAAGCAGTAGTTTTATTGTCTAGGTAAGTAGTGTCGACAGCTTTATGACTGTGGAAGGAACATAAATAATATTCCCGATGTCATTTCAACCAAATGCGAACATTAAGTTCAAATAAATGCACGAAAATTGTAATGATAAAACGTTTCGGTGCTTCTAGTATTGATATTTATTGATTAAATATTACTACATATAATAAGTTTATAAAACCAAAGTTAAACTCAAAATTTTAATAATAATTAGTTCATATTACATGATGGTTTAGTTAAAGATAAAGTTGCCTGCGGAATACCTATATTAAAATCTTCCCATACCAAAATAATAATACTTGTAGTAATGGAAAATTTCATCACTATGTACGCAGAAGTTTCAGGTCAATATTAATTAATTATTTAAGGATCAAACTCTACATATATCACGATTAAGTCTAATGTCTCGCCTATTTTTAAATTCCATTTTTTTCTAGTAACGACGTTATAAATATTACGTCTGTTTCCAAAAGTAATACATTTGGGAGACTAAATTATGATATAATATATAATTTAGTATCCCGCGAAATTTCGAGAAAAAATATGTAAATTTACAGATAGTGAGTTCTTACAGAAGTTGTTGCTTAAGCTCATATTGTGGTAATAAATAATGCTAGGCTAGACATGTGCACATTTTAATTATATTTTAAAAGAATACACAGGGTGAGTAAAGCTGTCTCTAGAATGATTATATTATGTTATCAGTATTTTTCATAATCACTCATGAAAATTCCCGAATAAAAAATTGGTGACATAAGCTTACCTGAAGAAGTATATATGTAAAAACTATATTCTTATCAAGTATGTTTACCGTCGGTTATATTAGGTTCAAAACCCGCATTTATTTTTGTATAATATTTTGTTATATACAAACAGTATTATAACAAAATATTATGTAAAAATATAAACCTCTTTTTATATTATTATTACTAATCTTAACAATGCTGATTTTTATCTGGATAAATATGTATAATATAAACAGGTACATTTTAAATCCAGCACCCGCTTTTTATTGCGAATATCATCTTAATTTTAAATATCTAATGATGACCACAAATACAATACATATCTATCTAACAATTATTTGTATAATTTCTAGTGTAAGAACTGAAATGACTGGGTATATTATTATTTAATTTAATACGTTATTAATATTAATTTATTATTAATTATTAATTTATTATTATTTAATTCTATTCACATTTTTATATTATATTTTTAAATATCAGTAAACTTTTATAAACTTCTCTCTTAAAAATAGCTTCTAGTGACGAGTATTATAAAATGAAAAGAGTATAAAAAATATTGATATTATAAAAAACATTGTAAACTTTTGTATTGGAGACATGGATACGACATAAAATTATTTAATTGCTTTCATCCTATCCCTTTTAATACCTATCATTTTTATGACACAATATTTTAGCAGTAAATTATATCCGATGCTATACGTAACAAAAACGCCTGACACGGTAATAAAAGTGTCAATTATTAGTACCCTCATCAAACTGTCCATAAACTTAAATACTTTATTACGGAGTACTTTATACAACTTAATGAACTCCTTTACTGAAATATATTGTCTCTACGCAAATAAAGCAACATTTCATAGAAGGAAGGAAGTTTTCATATTTTATAGTCGTCCCATGATTTTTCTTAATGAATGTAAAATATTTGAGTTTGCTTCGACGTTTCATTGTTTATTTTTGAACGATGATGTTAAACTGTTTATATACATATATATTATGAAGTGCATATAAAATATTCATTTTTTTATTTAGATTCATCTGGAGTCAAATTGTTCAGACGCTATTCAGACGTTGTCTTATATTTCCGTAAACGGTATTCTGTTCATCTTTGAACCAAATGTATCGGGTGTACTGGTAAAAGATGCTGTCATTGAGTTGAATTGCTTCCTTAACAGAAGAATTGTCAATAAATGTTGCATTTGCAATTTATTGTTATATATCAGACATAAGCAGTGAGTAAAACCTAGCGATAAATAAATACGATAAATTAAAAGAGTTTAATAATAAAAATTTAATCAAAAGATCTTTCGAACTTCTAAATGCAAAAAAACCCAACATCCGAAATAAATGGGACTTGTTTGATTCAGTACAGTGCGCTAACCGCAACCGTTTTACTAAGTTAAAACAAAATAAAGGCTCCACTGCAAAATCAGTAGCCTTGCGGTCTAACTTCGCCGTTTGTCTACTTCAGTTCGAATAAACGTGGTGGTTTTTAATTAAAACCGAGTCGCAATGGAAAAGTCTGTTCGACTTCTTGCTATGCCGTCATTAGAGCCATGGTCAGGGACTAACTGAGGGTGCGATATTCTTATAACACAAGATAATGTTCTATCTTTCCACATAACCAGAAAAAATGTTTAATACAAAGATATAGTTCTACAATATACAATTCATTAATCAGTTCAGATAATTTTAAGTCACCAAAAATAAGGATTCCATATTTGACTTTTATTTATCTGATTTTTAGTCATTTACCTTTCATCTCATATCATCACTGTCTATTTATAATTGAAACTGTATGCACTCATTGTAATACATATAGTTGTTGACATCAATTGACGTTATGAAAGCACTGGTAGGTACATTTACCGGTACGTGTACTGTATATGAAAATGATTTTTTTTTTTGTGTTTTTTAATGGTATTAACCAATATTTATTACTAGTATTTACATAACCTAATTATACAACTAAGAACCTAAAATTAAAAGCTTAAAAAAAAAATATAATATGATGACTAAAATATATTATTAAATAATGTTATTTATTTATATTTATTTATATTTCCATATTGTTAAAACATTTATGGATATATAAATATCCATGTAAAAATATTATGGATATTTATATATCCATAAATGTTTTGTCAATATGGAAAAGTTTTGTACTATCCACTATACTTAAGTGTGTTCTTAACCATCCTTAGTCTTGTTACGAATTGTCAATTTTAGCATATATAGATATAAGAATATATATGTATACAGCAACAAACCAAGAGCTATCAGTAATAATTAGGATTTTCGCGGCTAAACATATTTAACATGTTTTACTAAATATATTATCTTGAAAGTCAAATACGTCTCTGGTATTTTCCAATCTGAATTCAATACCAACTTGTGATACAAAGAACTTAAACAAGCACAATTCATTAAGTTAGCATTAAAGGATATCGCAAATCGGTTATTAAGTACCGAAGTTTATTTCATGCACACCCAGGAAGCGTTAATAGTTAGCGCTAGTAATGTTTAAATAAAAGGTTACCAATATTGTGAAAAAGTTTAAAAAGTCGATAACCAAGTGCTTCAGTAAATATCTAAACGCGATTTGAATTAGAACGAGTCCCCATTGGATTAAACGACAAAGTATCGAATTTACTTATGTAAATCTTACGTGACTCGGGAGACAACTCTATTTCGGTTCTAAGTAACTTTCGCTTAGAGAACCTGTTTTATTTACTTTAGGTACAATATAGGAAAAAACCTACACAAGGTGTATATTAATCATGCTATGTGACATAAAAATACATTTGACTTCAACTGTAAATATAGTAATAAATCTTACTTAGTCGAATATTTTTTTAATTAATTATAATATTAATTATTAAATCGATTGAAGTCACTAGGTCTTACAAATTTTATTTTTTAATTTAGTTTCACAGTAATTTTCCAAATTAAGTACTAGGTAAATCGGGGGCACATACATATATACTACCGAATTTTATATAAATAATAATTTTTAATTATTAATGTATTACAATATTTTATGTACCTTCAATAGTTGCAACTAAATATACGTATATGGCTTCGATTTGGTATTTTTTATTTATTAGTATATATACGCAAAAGTTATTGAGAGTAAATTATTTACGTTGGATAATTTTAGATTTTTTTCTTTTTATTTGATTCTCGTTTCTAAATACTCAGAACAAATTATAATTAATGTTTATTTGGAGAAAATAAGTTTGTCAAGAATGCATTAGTTGTCCAAACATGAGAATATCAATTTTGCACGCCTAATGGAATATCACTTACACATATGTATGTACCTATGACATTTGTCCCATAAAGGCTATAGATACATTTAGTATCCTAATACAAACGTTGTTATATTATTTTTATGTCAAATGGTAGATTGTAAATTTTATAATATCTTTAACAGAATTGAAAACAGAAAGGAAAAAATAGGAAATAAATACACATAAGATATAGAATACAGTATTCTTCTCTAGTATCTCGAATACAAGTATTATGACATAATATGTAATCAGTGGAGTAATAAAATTAAAATTATTTATATATTTAATGTTATTTTTTTACCAAATTTTAACTTTAATTGTATTATTGTAGTAAATAATAACAAATTTACAATGGATTTTTTTTACCAGAATAAGGACTAAAATCTATTAAAAATTGTATCAAAAAGAAAAATAGGGATCTACATTACTCAGTTCTAAGAAATCGCTAAAGAATAACGTGAAAACTGTGAAAACAACCCAAACAAAAAGTGAAAGATGACGCCACCTTATCTCTGTAAACCTCATTTGTTCGAACAGATGTTCCTAATCCATCAAAATGCCATTTTCGAGGCGTATCGTGCTTAGTTTAAAAAATACATTTCGCCACAGTTGGCTAGCGTGATTTTTTCATATTTTATGTTATGATAATGCAGACGTAAGGAAATATAAATCAGTTAGGTTGCAAAAAATGTATATACCGATGTATATTTAAATTTGCAAAATACATATCTTTATATAAAACATTATAAATTTTTCCAGTATATGATGTTATTTTTTGTGTTTAATTTTTCACTCCGAAGTAATAATAATAATAATAATAATACTTTATTTGCCAAATGTAGGTAAACAATAAGGTGTTATAAATATGTTGTTGAGATCCGTACATTAACCTCGTAAGAGGTGTGCAAAATTTCAAATTGTAGTTACAATTAATGTTTAATGAAATAAAATTACTGTACTACGTCATCATACCGATAGTCATTAATCAATTGTCTTTACGTCAATGTATCAGTCAGGAAATCACCAACCGTGTAGTAAGTTTTACCAATCAGTATATTTCTAAGAGCAGTTTTAAATTGATGGATACTACCAATAGATTTTAATGCCCTTGGAAGATTATTATATATTCTAGGTCTCATTCCTAAAATACTATTACACGACATAGCAGTTTTAGCCGGAAAATTACACAATTTATCATTATTACGTATTCCTTTGATGTTATTAAAAAGTTCAAGGTTCGTCTTAATAAAAATAGACACCTCATAAATGTAAAGGGATGGAGCCGTAAGTAGATTGTATTTTTTAAAATATGGAACACAACTATCAGTATTTTTTAAATTACACATCGCCCTGACACATTTTTTGTGCTTTAAATACTAGATCCTTACCCGTAGCGTTACCCCAAAAAATTATACCGTATCTCAAAGTTGATGAGACGTACGCATGGTAAGCACTTAGAAGAGTAGTTATACTTACTACCTTTGAAAGATTGTATAGAGCAAATGAAAATCGATTTAAGTCTTTACAAATTTTTTCGATTTGATACTTCCATTTTAATTTATCGTCAATATAAATACCCAAAAATTTTGTATTATCAATGTTAAGTATTTTATGTCCTAAATAGTTAATGTTCATTGTAGCAGTTTGAATTGAGTGTCTATTAAATGTCATCATATTTGTTTTAGTCAGATTAATTTTTTAATTATGTCTTTGTAACCAGTCAATTATACATTTTGTAGAGTTATTTATTTCTTTTTCATAATTATAATTGGCTAATTTATCATTTATAAATAATATAGTACTGTCATCTGCAAATAAAATCATTGGATGATTAACAACCCTCGGTAGATCGTTTATGTATATATTGAATAAAAGCGGACCTAGTACACTACCTTGAGGAACACCACATCGTATGTATCGCAATTTCGAGGTGTAAATAGTCTCATTCTTACTTTTTACACATATTCTACTAATCTGTGTTACCTGTTGCCTATTGAATAGATACGATTCTAATAATGATAATACATTTCCTCTTATACCATACGACGCCATTTTTTTAAATAATATGTCGTGATTTACATGATCAAATGCTTTAGTCATGTCCATAAATAGCGCTGTTACACTTATTTTCTTATCAGTGTTAGTAATTACAGTATTAAGAAAATTAAATATAGCTAAGTTAATGTTTTTATTTTTTCGAAATCCGTTTTGCTCATTAGCAAATATTTTATATTTTTCTAAATATGAGTAAAGGTTATTGTAAATTACCTTCTCAAAAATTTTTGCAAATATTGTGATAAGAGCTATAGGTCTATAACAGTCTAGATTTTCCCTATCACCTTTTTTAAATAAAGGTTTTATCACTGATAATTTTAGTTTATTAGGAAAAATGCCATTTTCTATACAAAGATGTACTATGTTATTAACATAACTTAAAACTGGTGAAATTATTCCTGCTACATATTTAATTACTTTTGTTGAAATATCATCATAACCTATGCTTGCAGTATTTCGTAAGTTTTTAATTATTAAATTTATGTCATCAGGACCAGTGGGTAACATAAACATAGAATTATAATTTCGATATGATACGATACGATTAATGTCAATTACATTATTATTGCTACTATTACATGTCATATTTATATTTTCGTCAAAAGAAATGTCATCCGTATTTGATTTGTTATCACAGATTGAATTTTTTATAAAGTAATCATTAAATGCATCTGCTATTATTTGTGAGTCATGTACAATTATTTTATTAATATATATACTTTCTATAGGTTCCTTAACAACATTAGATTTATTGCTATTTATAACATTCCACGTCGCTTTACATTTATTTTTTGATGTCTGTATGTAATTGTCATTTTTTAACTTTTTAGTAAATTTAATAATGTTTTTAAGACGCCTACTATAGGTTTTAAATTTATTTTTATTTTCTATAGTTTTATTTCGTCTATACTCCCATAAACATTTTCTTTTACGTTTACTACATATTTTTAAGCCCTTAGATATCCAATTAATTTTTTTTTCAGTAGGTACTTTAATTTTGAGTATAGGAAAACAGAGGTCATAGAACAACTTAAATGTATCATAAAACACGTCAAATGCTTCATTAGGATCATTATTAGTATATACATCAACAAAACTTAGTGCCTTAAGAGTTTTCTTAAACTTAATCAAATTATCAATATGAATATCTCGTTTTTTCGTAAACCAGTGTGAAATAATGCAAGTTTTTTTTACGGGACATTTTAGAACTTGTGCTGTATGATCAGATAGAGCAAGTTCTATTACATTACTTTTAGAACCCCTAACATTGTGTATTATATTATCAATACAAGTTGAGCTGACCAAGCGTGTTGGTTCTTTAATAGCAAATTTTAAACCGAAACTGTGCAGGGTACCTTGAAATTGCAATGAATTTTTAGTTTTAATTAAAGTATCTATATTGAAATCTCCCCCTATTATTATTTTTTTATTCCTCTGGTTTTTTGTTATTTCCGATAACACTTTATCAAATACATCAAAAAAAGTCTGCATTGAAGTTGAATCTTGTCTTGGTGGTCTATAGATACATAACAACGTGATGTCATGGCTAACTAATTCTATACCACAACATTCAATAATATTTTGTACACTATACTTTTGTAATTTGTACAATGTTTTGAATTTATGTATGTTTTTAACCATTATACACGAACCTCCTTTTCGTATAGATCTAGAAAAAACTGCTGCAATATTAAAATTTGGTATATATAACTGATTGATATCACCTTCCACCATATTGTGTTCCGTTATACACAACACATCGATTGAAAAGCCCTCATTTTTTAACTCATTCAAACTCATGCTTAATAGATCCGATTTACCAATAAGACCATTTATATTTTGATGCAATACAGTGATATTATCATACAAGAAAAAACGAATCTTCTGTTTTATTAACCATTTCTGAATTAGATTTGTCATTATTACAATTACTTAAAGCTATGTTCGAAGTATGAGAAATATCATCAGTCTGTGTATATTTATGACAGAAATTTGTTTGCCTTACTACGTTGTCATAATTACTTAAATTTAAAATGTATGTTTCATAATTATATTTGTAGGTAATATGTAATATTTCTCTTAAAAGATGTCTACATAGATTAATTGTAAATTTCATTTTAGTTAACTTAATCCTAGAATAATCCATGTCAATAAATGAAACATTTTTGTGAAAATTAGAAATGTGCCGCAACTCATAATTTAACCGACTTTCGTTAAGTTTCATATTAAATGGTATTTCAGAAAATATTACATTAGTATTAACAATACTCTTCAGCCAACTAGTCACGTACATCTTAAATTCATACGGATTAACCTCATTTGTACCTCCTATAATAAGAACATAGTCATTTTTTGTCAATTCTAATATATATTTGTTATCAAATTTCAATATTTCAGATAATCTTGCCCCAGATTTCCAAAACGCTGTTACTATATAGTCGTTGCCCAAAAGGTTTTGTAATATTTGTCTTACTCCGCGGCATTGTTGGTCTCCTAGAATTACAACATTCTTTTTTGTTGTTTTTATATGTTGCTCATTGTCGTAGTATGTAGATTTATTATTAGAAAATACTTCTATGTTGTTATCCAGTCTGTTAGTGTTTATCAATGTATCCTTCAAGTTTTGCTCTTTGGTCCCCTTATCAGTAATTAGGTTTTGGTTGCACTCTGCTTGTATACATACATTGTCTGGAGAAAACGATGGTTCTCTCGAGATCGTTTTTTTTGTTACGGATTTCTTCTTTTTTATTATAGGTGTGCTCTCACATTTATCGTTTTTGTATATGTCTATAATTTTTAAACATTTTTCTAACTCTAGCTTTAATTTAGTATTCTCCACGTTAAGATCATCAATTTCAGAATATGCCGAATGTAGATCTGTAGTTAATTTTTCTATGTAATTATCTTTATTTTGAATATTTATACTCTCATCCATCGAAGTATTTGGTAAACTCATATTCGTGGTATCATAAAGTGACGAATTAGATAGACTATGGAATGAGCTTGATCGTCTAATTTTCCTAAATGTTATATTGCTTGGCGAAGTCATCTTTAAATTAGTCTTTCTTGACATTAATTAATTAATCAATAACCATTAACTGATATTATAATATATTTAAAATATTTATAATATATTTAAAAATCAAGCGATAGTAGCGCCACCTACCTATGATGTTAATTAATGGGCCAAATGGTCTTGCATCCAAAACTATCTAGTTGTCTATGTCTTGTTATAATGTTGAAAAATGCGTCTGCGTCGTTCTTTAAAGTGTCAACTATTACACTGTGACAAGTAGTAGTCGTGTATATGTCATTTGTCAGTTATTGAGTCAGTTCCATCCATTCAATTAGTAAAAATTTGTTTGTTTACATCCATGAATCAGTTAATTGGAGTAAATAATATTGTAACGGTATTTTTAAATTAGTAACGGTAAATTGTGGCTTACCGCTCTTGGAAATATAGTGAATTTCTCGCATTCGTAGCACTTTGTGATTCGTTTTTCATATATGCCAGGGTAACTTACTTCTGTAGCTATATTTGGTATATGTTTGTAATGTTTTATATGCACTTTAACTAATTTTTACTAATTATTCTATCGCAGACGTATTTAATAGATATTACTCTGGTGACAGCTGTCACAACACTAAGTACTTCCTTCAGCAATCTGCTACTTGTACCTCTACAAAACGTACTCAATGGTATCACAGAAAATAAGTATAGTAAGAATAGCTATTGGAATAGTGACGGGCTATTAGCTATCCCTTGTCTATCTCACAGTTTTGAACATGAATTCGCTAAATATCCACTAATGTAAAGGATTGTCATTAATGTACCATGTTTAAGTAACCTCCACGTAATAATTGTTCACGCTTAGTAACCTAACTTCATCTACATATGAATCATCTTCTACTGGTTCCCAAGTTATTGTCCTAGAAAAAAAAACATATTAATCGAACTATTTACTAAATTTACACAGGAAAAAACATAACATTCACTGCTTTTTTATACGCAACAGGCATTAGAGACAGTGTTTGACGACAAAAATACGACCACCCACATAATCTTAGAATACTTAGATGTATCCTCCTGGAGCACCTTGGAACAGTATTAGCATCACGGTGAGGAAGATTACGTAGACTTCGACTCCTGCCATCAAATAGTTTGCTTATTTATAAATACTACTACTACTCATATAGTATTCAAAGTCAATTCATATAAAAAAACTAGGTTTTTTAATATCACTCTGCTATATATGTCACTAATATTATAAACGCGAAAGTTTCTGAGTATGTTTGTTAGTCTTTCACGCAAAAACTATTGAATCGATTTTGATTAAACTTTATGGTGACGTCGCTTATAAATCACATATAGGCTATAATTTAAATATTATATTATGTAAATTAGGCGAAATATAATGATCTCAAGTAAGTGATGAAGTTGCGCGAATCAGCTAGTATTAAATATGCTATAAATAAATATATCAGATATCCTAAACGGTAATAGACATCTGATATGATTTGAATATCATTTTGTAAGATATTAAAAAAAAATATTTAGCAACCGTTCTCATTCATTTATAAGTATTTTTTATACATAAGTAAGTAGCTCTAATTATTCTATCGAAAAGGAAAATTTGAAAACTTACATCTTACGTAACTAATGAACCAATATTCACGGTTTGCCGTAATTCAAATCGGGCTGAGCTACGAATAGCTACGCTCTTCCGTTTCGCTGCCGCTACAGACAGTTTAATTCAATTCTTATTATTTTCACCCTAATAATAATATTCCAATCATTTTGTATACACTTAAAGTGTGCATAATACGCAATCGATATTATGTCTAAGTTCAGTACAAGCAATCTGTAGCTGATGTAAATAGTAAACTGTATGTAATGTAAGTAGTGACTGGTAAAACTTATGTTTTACCAGTAAGCTTTACTAAAACTTACTTTATACTGTCGTGAATATTAGTGCGCGCTAGTGTACTTCCTGTCGAGTGGCATAGTCATATACTATTTATTGAACCTTTAGTTCTTCACTAATGTCAAAAATTCTACGACCGATACATGTTGCAAGTAAAATAAAATATTTTAAAAATAAAATAATACTATAGTTGCAGATTGTTACAGTTTTTGTTGAAACTTTAAGAATTAAATTAACAAATAGACGTTTACTGTTGTTACAAAATAATGATATTCAGAAATAAAAAATAAGTTAGATAAGATATGAATATACAGTTAGTATATGAATAGAATTGTTGGATATATGTATTACAACTTCTAAGTTCAAAGACACACAAAGCTTTGTAAAACAATACCAATAGTGCGTCGCACTCCTATTCGTTAAGCAATGTCATTAATTAAAAGTTAGGTGATTAACGAATACTTATTCGGCAGCTCAAAACCCTTTGTCAACTGTCTTTGAACTTCTTACCTACTTTATATTATGAAAACATACATAGTAATATTACTACAAATAAACGCAGGACGCTATCAAATGCGATGTGTTTACTATTTCCATATATATGCAATAAAAATAGAATTGAATCATGTGTTTGTAATTTCAAATTAACAGCTTTTCACTAAATTAATGACAGTATATACGCAGATACAAAAAAAAAAAAAATTTTGTAAGTTTGTCTGTCTGTCTGTCTTGATATTTGTTTGTTCTTTATATTCTCTGAAACGGTTGGACCAACATTGATGCGATTTTTATTCGCAGGTAACTAATGTTATAAAGAATAACTTGGCTACTTTTATTCTAGAAATTTTATATATTTAATTCAACTATTCACTGATTAAAATATTATAAATTTTAAGTAATAAATAGTAGAAATCCATATGTATATGATGGCAGGTAAAAGCTAGTATAGTAGCTAAAATATTCCTTTAAGATGTTTGATAAGATGAACTTTTATTTAAAAAATATTATTATCAAACAGTTTACATAGTTGCACATAAAATTACGCATAAAGTTAGTGTAACACAAAAAAAATTGTGTGACAATTTTTAATTCTAATTATGTAATATTATGTTATCTGTGATTCTAACTGACTCACCTGTGATAAAACCACTAGATTCGCCCACATGAGCTTACGTTCACACTATGTCGACTTGTCTACCCTATGTTCTGAATTTATAAAGTAACGTTCAATATAATATTTACGGATACTATTTTAACGATATTTAAGTAATAGTTTAAAATTAATCTTATTACTTACTAAAAATTGTAACGTATAAATAAAAGTAGATAAAATCAGAATTAACATATTAATCAGCTAAGATTCAGCGTAGAGTCCTCCGTACAATTTTCGATCATAAATTAAAGTAGCGACAGAGTATTAACTAGCCGAAGTACATGGCAGCTAAAATACAATTAATTTTACTATGCGCTGAGAGGAATGAACATCGTCGTAACGTCGTTCAGGGTAGATAAAAAATAAAAGCAAAGCAATATTTAATTTAGAATGTTCCATAAGAATTGTGCTTATAAGTCGTGAATATTATATCTTCTACTTGAAAAGCCAGTTCTGTCAAAATAGACTCTAGAAAAACCAGTATTCCTTTACTCTATATTTTTATCTCGTCTATCCAGGCACGAAAAAAAATCTTCACATAATATTTTATCATGAAATTTACAATTTCCAAGTTACTGCTCTATTTCACAGCATTGAGTTAAATCATGGTTCATTTCTGTGAAATTGAATGCCTTTCGAATGCTTATGAAAGAAAAATTTACAAAAGGCTATATTATTTCCTGAAAGAAATGCTGTAATTGGTCTAAACCAGGAAACCGTACCAATTAGCAGAATCGCTGACGTGAAAAAAAGTCTCTCCCGCCGAAGTGCGACCCTACCTGTAGCTTACTTTTTTCTACCTGAATTCCCTTCACGGGGAATGGATATGATCACGTTAAGTACGGTATTTTTCCCGCATTCATTAAACTCGGATTATTTTTTTCAACAAATTAAATTTCCTGGGATAATAAACTGACTTTAAAAAATGCGTTACATTTTGTACGTACTACTGCCTCTCCAACTTTGTTCCCGTTAAACACTGTATGCGTATAATATTTAAAAAAAAGTTTAAATGTTCAAAAGAAATAAGCAAAAAACCAGACAGATACAGACAGCGATTTTTTCTTCCTCAATAATTTATAATTTTCAATGCATTCCAAATTATAAATTAATGAAATAAAATGAATTTGTTTAAATAGTAGGTAATCTTAAACTTATCTAATTATTAAATATATACTTTAGATACTATTCTTAGAGCAATTAGACTAAAACAGAAAAAGCATTCGTCTGAAAGAAATAGTTTGTTATGCAAAACTTCGATCGTTTGTACAAACAGGGCGCAATAGTTATATCTACAACAGAAGCCAAGTAATGCCACAGTTTGTAAACACTTTTTCGCACATCCCGTGTAAAAAGGCCGCAACTACACTTGCGTCAAAAATGTTTTATTACATAAATAAATCGAGCTTCACGGTTTACACCTTCTATCAAAATCTCATGAAGCTATCGACAAAATTGAAGGAATAAATGCAAAAATACTAAAATTTTGCGACTTTAGAAAACATAAAATTCCAGCATAAAATAGAGGTATGCATATTTGCATTTATTCGCTTTACAATTATCCCGCTCATAAAGTCATAATTGTATTTACGTAAATTTTAAAAGAAGATTTACAAGAAAATGTATAACATAAATATACTTAAATACTTGTTCCTATATCTTACAATCTAGGACTATTGTGTAATTCTAATTACTTACTTCTTCTACGAAACTTTTAGCTGATAGTTTATGTGTGATTATTGTTACATACTTTCCGCCCAGCAAAATTTCACAATGCGTAAAGTGTAGTTGTAGTTACTTCTTTATTACACGTAACATTTCATACCTGATGTTGGGTAATTTTGATACATGCTATTTACAAGAAAAAAATAATTATGAATACGTTCATGTAATTAAAATTAAGTAAAAAATAAACTATTTTTAGCTAATTGTATAAGCTGACGGCGCACCAATGATGGATGATAGGAGGAG